CTTGTGGAAGAAATATCCAAACTCTTTTCAAATTCTATCTTAACCTATCCTCAGGCTTAAATCACATTGACGGTTCCAGAACAACAAGACCAGAGAAGCAACAGCTCTTGATGCCAAGTCAGAGTTTTATAGTGGAAAAAGGAGCTTTTACAATTTCTTTGGTTATTTGGCCATAGTTTGTGACAGATATGACAGTATGACTTATTGAAATGGATTCAACTTGTGAAAAATGGGTAGAATATGTCTCCTAAATTTCAGCCCACCATATGTCACATATGAGACTTGATTCCATAACTTTAGGCCACTTAAATCATTTTACATGAACTATGCATTCTGCTCCACAAAATGCAAAGTCAGGGACTTTACAAGCACTTTTACACTTTGCAAGGAGGACTTTGAAAGGCTGTCCTACCTATACATTTACACTAAACCAGTCTGCTCTAAGAATCACTGCTGAGGCTAATTACAACACTCCCCATTTTAGATTATACGGTTAGCTGGTCTCCCACTGAATAAGGCATGCTATAATTACAGGTATTACTTTTTATCATCATTATTATTCCGAAAGAGACCTTTCATCTCACTGTTTCTATTTTTGCTTCCCTAAATGTGGATTAAACTAAACTGACTGCAACAGAAAAAAAGGTTCAGGGGAAATACAAGAATTAATCACAAAGAACCCTAAAAATGAAAGAAGTTTTGGCCCCATCCAAAACTTCCTATGAACCCCACCTGGAAATATTACATACACATCCTTCTAATCTGTTCCTCAAAATTATGGTCGGGCTTTGTTCAGCCAAACTACGTTGTATTAATACGTGTCAAAAGGAAGTGTGCATGGCTTTGGTGTACATATGGACTTATAGACAGAGAAGTCTGAACGCTGATGTGGTTTTCAAGTGAAGTAGATGTAAAGCAGAAGCGAGCGGATTATGAAAGAGGATGATGAATGAAAACAGCTGGGAGAAACCAGAGAGGGGAAATGTACTGCAACACTGTTGACGAAAGACAGAAACAAGCAGATGTATCAGAGGAAAACTGGTGCTCCATCATCAGTGCTGGGGTACTTTCTGTCTTTGGGCACATGAGGCCACACACTGCAACAGGGGGATGGGTTCTCTTTACTCAGAGGCCAATCCAGGACAAAACTCTCTGCGTGTGTGCATGCATGCGTGTGTGTGAACATGACATCCTCAATATGAGCTCAACTCTTTTACAGAAAGCAGTAAAAAAGGCACAAGCTGTGACCTAATGCCACATCTAGTGAGCCACCATAAACAGAGAAGGATCAGCTACTGAATGAAAACTCCGCAAGATGCATATGTGCCTCAAAGTAAAACCATATGGAAAAGGCACCAGTGGAGCAGATCCAGATTACAGAGAAACCTACTGGACAAGTTGCAAAATGATTTACTCAATCTGAAATTAAAGACACTGCCTTGTGTGTTCGGTATACTGTATATCTACACACACACACACACATACATATATATACTATATATATATATATATATATATATATATATATATGAATTCTGGACAAGTTAGTGTCTGTCACTAGCATTACAAGATTAGCATGACAAGTCTGATTAATGCATGACATCATCATTTGTTGTGCTAATGCGAAGCAGTTTTCTTGACCTGATGTAAGAATGAGATGACTCCTAAAAATATTTAACACAAATTAGACTTTTCCAATCAGGTTCATGCTGAATTAATTTTCAGTGGACTCAAGAAGGGTGGCAAACAGGTGAGGTAATGTGAAAAGACAGGAACTTTTCGTTGTCGTCATTGGAGACATTGGAGGAGTCAATTATTATTTTTCAGTTAATATTCAATTTTGTGAGGAAAACTCAATGTTCCACCCAAGTCACGGAGAACAGGTTATGTGCATTCTAGTTCAGATTAAAGTTGGTAACACATATCTTTTTTCTTACATGTCAAAAGAATTCAGTTCAGATCTGATGTTTTTACAATATATACACACTCCACTTTCCAGATGTCGTCATTCACTATAAATGTAAACACTTATGTTTGATTCTCTCATCATAGGGTTTCAGTCAGATTGAAGAAATATTTGTCCTTGTAAACACAACTAGTATCCCATAACTGTGGTGGAATTCTGGCCCACTTGCTTCAACTCATTGAAGTTTGTCACATATGTTAACTCACATCTCTCTTTAGGCCTCAACACAGCATTTCAATCATTTCATGTTCTGGACTTTAAATGGACCATTTCAACACCTTTAATTTTTTTTTTGTTTGTTTAGCCATTCAACCGTAGATTTGCTGGCAAGCTAAGATATCCTTTTATCCCACAATAATGTTCCATCTTTTCCTAACTTTGTTTTTATTTCCAGTATTTAACAGAGGTATATACACAACCAAAATGAAACTCCTGGGTTGTATGGACTCTCCGAGCCTCTTGACAAGCTCGTTTTCACTGAAAAATTATGGATTTCACATTGTTTGACAATGTGTCACATTGTTTGACATTTAAACGGTCCAGGCAATTACGTCTTCTTTTCTAGAGGTGCACACTTGCTCATGATCAGTTATCCAAGTGCCTTTCAATAGCAGCACCAGGCTGCTGCTTAGCCTCATAATTCAAATGGTAGTTGTAAGGATTTCATTTTTCCACATACTCTTTCCTTATTTTTTCTTATTCTTTGCTATATAAATTACATCATTTGTTAATCTCTTTGTTGATATCTTATTGTTTATCGTACGTGCTTACTTTTAAAATATGCAGAATGCTTACATACAAGAAAACAACTTCTTTCCAGGAGCCTTGTATGACAAATAATGCCCCTTGAAAGGGAATGTTGTGGAATAGCAACCTTTCCCTGAAGACGCTTCTGAGGTATGTGGAAAATGGAAAACGCTTTATGTTAGTTTTGAGGCCGAAAACAAGCCTTGCCGAGTGACATTTTCCAAAAAGAGTGTTTGGTGGTTTGTGCATAGCTTTTTGGCACAGATTATAAAATAATATGTCTGGGATGGTTAAAAAAAAAGAAAAAAAGTTTACCCCTTGAAAATGGCAACACCAGATGTCGAATGAAATTCAAAAACCATAAAGTGACAACATTTATTTCAGATTTTCAGACAATAACTGTGGAAGCTGTGGAAGGAGACCAAACAGCTGGTTGAGGGTGGCATAAAAGAGAAAATACTTTGAATTTGAAAGCCATTATATGACATCAAACCTGCCATTCCTACATATGTACTGAGAATATATATAAAAGCCTCTCAACTGCGTGAACAATCGGTGTGTATGTTTGCACTACATTTAAAAACACACATCCCACTACGACAAGAAGAACATTCTTAATCTGTCCTCTCTTCAGATGTGTCGCTTTTTAGTTGTTATCGTGGCACTTTGTTCGTTCACTGCAGAATTAAAGCACACACACATAAGTGCAAAGCCAAATTTTCTCTTTTACTTTACTGGTATTGGATCTGAAGAGCTGTTCAGTTTTTCACCCAGCAGTCTCCTCAAGTCCAGGTTGATTTGCTAGCCTGTCCTGATGGAAAAGAAAATGATAAACAAATAATAATAAAGTCATCAAAACCTCAGTCCCAAAGGATTTTCATTTGTAGTCTGTCACAATAGAGGACAAATAATTTTGTTCAGTGGTTTTTGTTTATGGCAAATAGCTTGATAAGATTTTTCAAATGACATGTTGAGAGAAGCATTTATTAAATGATCAACATTGTGCTTTCATATGTTTAAAGCGGAATGAGATTAAAAGGATTTTTCACAACTGACTAATTGCAGCACAATAAACTGACTGCTTCAGGGCTCTCTGTGGCGCAAATCAGCACATCAGTGTCTGCACTGAGGGACAAACGCATGCAACTGCAGTTCAAGAGCACCATCTGCTGAAAGAATTATGTTTTAACATGCATCCCAAGGGCTCCCAAAACGTTTCAGTTTCCAACCCATGAACAACAGAGGCAGAGATTCACAAACCCCATTTGAGCTGGTAGTATTATGCAGATTTGTTTTTAGTCAACTGAAACACGGGCCCAATGAAAGTACAATTCAAAACAAAACATATAAGATACAATATTCTGGTTTATAGGTTTTTGTTTTGGAATATTCCAGTTAATGAATTCTTTTTTTTTTTCCTGTAACAATTATAGCTCATGCTGACTTTTTTTCATTTTGATCTAAAGATTGTAAAGGTAGCTGCTCATGGAAACCTAACCCTTAATTTAGATCCACTGTTTCATACCGAACAATGTACATGTGAGATATGTAAAGTTATTGAATCAAGCACAGGCTAAGTATCAGTAAAAATCAGTGGGATGTGTTTTAACAAGGGAATAGATCAGGGACAGAAAAGTGAAACAACCATGTTGAGAAAAATGACAACAGAGGAATGAAACAATTTATTTTACAACCAATCTTATAGCCAGTTGGAAGACTAAATTACCTAGAAAAGATGCAAAATGATTCAACGAGCTGATATCCAAAACAACCTAGATTACATGCAGAATGAGAAATCTGAGACAATATTGTCAAATATGAGAGAACACAAATAAACAATGCAGAGGGACCAGGGAAGGATGTAGAATCGTGAGGATGATTAGGCCTATATGGAAATTACGGATCTCGTTCAAGGAAATTTGGACAGCCTTTTCCAACAAGCTCAATTTTCCCTCATAATTTCAGAATGTTAAAGACTGTTCAATATAATCATCGTTAATCCACACATAGAAGTCTATGAAGTAACCAGAAAAGGTGCTGTACTTGCAGCTCTCAGTTCCACATTGTCATTAACTTGATACAGTTAATTTGCCCAAAACAACGTAACAACATCAATCTATGATAACTTTTCATTTCGTTAGCCCAGTTTTTTGCCTCTTATTTTCATATCTAAATTGAGTCATTTTTAAATATAAGTATAAGTGTGTATCAGTATGGACATGTTTGGATAGTTCATTGTAGCAACAGGCTACATTCGAGAGAGAGCAGGGCAGCTAACACCTGTGGCGCGCGCAGGCACAGGCGACACGCGACCCGTCCATCCCCGCATGCGCAAAGCGATCAGGCTTCTCTGTCCAGGAGATTTCGAAGATGATGCGGCTGAGCGGCCGGCGTGGACCTCATGCATAGCTGGCAAATCTCTGCCATAGATTTTCCCTTGCCTTGTCTAGTTTCTTGCCAAATTTGCTGTTCAATGTCGAATTGTGAGCGGAGAGGAGGGGAAACTGATACGCTTTGAGACAGAAGGACGAAGAAGAGCGAAGCAGTGTCTGGACGGAGTTGGGCATTACATTTCACCGGATGTCATTATACGCTTTTAAATATCAAGGACGTAAGCAACTGCTTGTTTCTAAATGTTTTTTGTGATTCATTTTTACCCGTATAGTGTACAATTGTTAATGTAATGTATGAGTTTTTCCCAACGGGGTCTCAGGTGAGTCACAGTCCACCGTGCTGTGAAACAGACCAGCCCTTCATCCACAGGGATTCTTTTTTCTTTAAGTGGGTCGACGGCGTTTATTTGAAATAGCTTTATTTAAAATTTAATCAGCTTTGGTAGGCTGTTTCTTGCTCCCAGCATCTCAACATTGCTCGCCTGTCAAGCTAGTGCTATAACACACACGTCTTAGCTCACACAGCTAAAACCTTGAATATAAAACAGGTGTTGGGGACTTGGTTTAATTGGCAGAGCTTGACTCCGTTTTTATACGTTAAGCATCCTGTAACGTGTCCTCATCCCTTTCCTTGTGACAGTTTTTCAGTAAGCAGACAGTTGTTACACGAGGCGAGTTTTATTCTCGTGTTTCGTTAATGGATACACCATAACATGTGGGCAAATATCAATCAAACAGGCTTGCGGGTCGTCGGGCATTTGTACTTAGGCCTACATCTAAGCTCGTTGATCAATTGAATTTAAGCCTCTTGAGCGGTCCGAGCGAAACCTGCTGACACATGCGCCCCAGTCTTTTTGTTCTCGCACAAAACCGTTTAACCCTCTCGCCTCTGGTCTCCCCCTGCAGCCAAACTTAACCCTCGCTAGATGCATTCCCGTATGATATCCTGCAAGGATTGTCCATGCTGCAGATTATTTAATCCTGGCACCCATGCTGCACTGCGAGCGCTCAGCACTTTCTCGCCGTCAACATTGGAAGACAGTGGTTAACTTACCATACACCGAGTAATTAATCATTTAAAGGACAGCTGATCTGACGCATCGGATTAATAATAGATTATCATAAAGACAAAAGCTTCTAGCTCTGTGGTGGATAAGAGCTGATTGTTATGTAAGCTGCCTAATTAGTGTCAGTGAGGCACACAGCTCCATCCCACCGTGTGGACGGTAACCCTGTACACGCATTGATTATGAACTGCTTATGGAATGACACAGCAAAGGCAAGGCCTAGTCTCTAAAGGTTTGGGTCTTTTTCCGCTATATCATGTTTCGACCAGAAAAATAAAAAGAAACGCAGTCTCGACATCATTAACCTGTTGCTAAATGTGTAAATCAGCCTCCAGGAGTAATAGTGTTTTACTCTTAATAACTTATTTATTATACAAACTATCTAAAATGGCTATCTTTAACGTTTCACAGGGAGGGAAAGTGTGAAACTGTCTGAACTATTTCTGTCCTATACAAACATTGACTGTAACAGCCTCAAGAAATACAGCCTTTTACTGACTTTTGGATTCTGTGTCTCTATCTTCCCTCTCCACAGTATAATCAAGACCAAAGGTTGAGCCATGGAGGTTGTAACACATTTTATGAATGACTCTGTAGAGTTTTACAAATGGAGCCTTACTATAGCAGGTAAGCTGGGTCACACAGGAGCAGTGTGTCTCTCAAGCATGACTAAAGGGGAATGACAGAAAGATAAAAATATATTAGTTTGATTGCTATACAGAGATTAGATACAGGCATATTATTACATTTGTATTCTCTTGCTTTTCATTTTTGACATCAACACGGCTCTCCCCAGACAAGAGGGTGGAGAACTGGCCGATGATGTCGTCGCCATTCCCCACCCTGGCCATCAGCTGCCTGTATTTGATTTTCCTGTGGGCGGGGCCCAAATACATGCAGGACCGTCAGCCCTACACCCTCAGGAAGACCCTCATAGTCTACAACTTCAGCATGGTGGTCCTCAACTTTTACATCGCCAAAGAGGTCAGTGGACAGCCAGGGATGGACTTACATGCTGTACAGAAAAACACAAAAAAAACACAAATGAAATAAAAGGCAGCATTGCAAATTAGATTTCCTTCTTGCTCTTCCCTTTCAAACCCATCCATCCGTTTCTTTATGAAACATCTGGCCCACAGTCACTCTCTTATTATAATCCCTGCTATTTGGAGGTAGTGTCTTTTTTTAAGATTGTCTCTGTGACTAATAGTACACAAGCATTTTGCGTGTGTACAGTCATCTGCTGCTTATTGAAAACATTATTTGTAAGCAGTTTAGCACGTTTGCTTTCTTTAAAATCAGATAAACATAGATTTTTAAGGGTTTTCACACAGCTCAATTGGGTCAAGTTATCAGGAATTACTTGTCCGTTGCTTTATCTCCATGTAAATCAGTTAAGAACCACAAACCATTCTCTTCTCAGTCTTGATCTGATCTAGCATTGTACAACCTCTCATCAGCTCCTTCTAGCATCGAGAGCAGCTGGGTACAGCTACCTCTGTCAGCCTGTCAGCTACTCGAATGATGTCAATGAAGTCAGGGTAAGCTCACGTTTGTTACTATGTAATAGCTCAACAAACCGATGTTTTAACATATCACTAATCATATATCTGCCATGTGGAATTAGTCTCTAAACAGTAACGATTTTAGAGCAAAGAGGGCGTGGTCTACCTCTGTAACCTGAAGCTCCACCTCCCCCTTCAGGCATTTGTTGTGGCACAGTGCCCGATCTTCGGGTTTAAAGGTGCCACAGGGCAGTTGGTTCAATGCTTTTGATGCGTGCGTGGAAAAAAGGAATAATAAAGCTAGTTGAATTGGAGGGGGGTATTTTGTAACACATTTCACTGTGAATTTTTTTTCTTTTGAAGAAAGCTTCAGTATGTTCTGAATAATTCGGTGTCAGACAAAGAATTATTTTTGTTTGTGATCTCAGAACACATTTTAAATAAACCTAAACGAGGGCTGGTCTTTACCCCACGTGATAACGATAATATCATCATATAATCTGTAGTAGTAATGCATTTCTTTATGGCATAAGACAGACTGAACAGAGAGAAACATCTTCTCAGCAGAATTTTGAGCTGACTGCTCTAACAGACATGTACCTCCACCTGTATCTGAGTATTTTGTTCATGCAGTTTCACTCCTCCATGAGGGGCAGTAACTCAATCTGCCACTTATCTGTCCTCAGATAGCCTCTGCTCTTTGGTGGTACTATATCTCCAAAGGAGTGGAATTCTTGGACACAGTTTTTTTCATACTGAGGAAGAAGTTCAACCAGGTCAGCTTCCTGCACGTCTACCATCACTGCACCATGTTCATCCTCTGGTGGATTGGCATCAAGTGGGTTCCCGGGGGACAGTGTGAGTTACAGAATCTTTCTTTATTGTAGCGTCCAGCACCAAAATTCCACCTAAGCTCATCTTTTTAGTATTTGGCCACTGAGAAATAACCCAAGCAAAATGGCATCTCTGCAGCATTCTTTGGTGCAACCATCAACTCCTCCATCCACGTCCTCATGTACGGTTACTACGGCTTGGCAGCTTTGGGACCGCAGATGCAGAAGTATCTCTGGTGGAAGAAATACCTCACTATTATTCAGATGGTGGGTATCACTTCAAACAGGGCAACATGCATAAAAAAATGAGAAAAATACACTAAAAGAAATCCAGTGGTGAGCTTGTGTTGACTGTGAGACTGTTGTCTGCATTTCCTGTCTGGAAGCATCCAGAACTCATTTTAGCTGTGAATTGCTGCTAGCACACCAAACACTAGCAGAGAGTTACGGTTTAAACCAGATAATGTCAGAGCAGCAAGCTCATTAAAAAAAAAACATTCCCTGAACCAGAGTAGCTTTACTGGTGTGCAGATTTGTGTGTCAGTGATAATGTGCCAGCACAAGTTATACAAGTTATGATTTCTTTCCCCCTTTTTTTTCTTTTTTTGTGGCTTAGTGGGTTTTTTTCATGTCTTTTTTAACTACAAAAAAACTGAAAAGCAACAAGCTAATGCACATATACAGTGACGGAGGAGATCTATTTTACTTCGCTTCTTTTGTTTAAGTTGTGATAATAATGTACTTTTTCAACTTTCAACAGATCCAGTTCCATGTCACCATTGGTCATGCTGGCTACTCTCTGTACACCGGCTGCCCGTTCCCTTGTTGGATGCAGTGGGCTCTGATTGGCTATGCTGTCACCTTCATCATCCTCTTCGCCAACTTCTACTACCATGCTTACAGACGTAAACCCTCCTCACAGAAAGCAGGAAAGCACGTGGCAAACGGTACGTCTGCTGTGACTAACGGACACAGCAACGTGGAGGAAGTGGAGGAGAATGGAAAGAGGCAAAAGAAGGGAAGACCTAAAAGGGAGTGAATAAGGAAGAGGGGTTCGTTTAGCACAAGCAGGAAGAGGACAGAAGGAAAGTGTGCAGGAATTCTAATCAAACGACTATTTGTGCAAATAACGTAGATGGATGTGACTTTTGGACCAACTTTCAAAGTAGCTATGTGTATTTGTGGGCTTGGGCGTTGGTGGTCTCCATTGTTTTTCCTTTTTTTAAAGATGATCACATAGGCACCACACTCTTCTGTCCAACTGTTTTTGGAACAAGATTGGACCAAAAATAGGACCCGTGACCCGCTCGGCATCCACGACCAAATTTCACCTCCAACTTTTGTACTCTGGATTCCAGTATTGTTTTCTCTAAGAGCTTGTATAGTTTTTAATGTGCTAATTTATCTTCTAGTGCTCTAAAATTATTTTTGATTTTGTTTTAAATGTCTTCCAAAAGGAACACACTAAGTGGTGTCCTTTTGTTTGTTTCTTTTTGTTTACAAACACTTAGTTGAGTTAAACATGGTTACCAAATTCTTTTATTTGCCATCTGCTGTATTACTTACTGGCATTCACCTGCAGCACCTACCAGTCCGGCCCGTCATGGCTGTCTCCATCTGATCCAACTGTGCTGCATTACAACAACGAGCTGTTTTTTCTTTGTCCTCATTGTGAACTAAAAGCCTAATTTAAAGATGTGGGATTAAACTCTAGAGTTGTTTTTCTGACATTATGCAAACCTGTGAATATCTATGTGAAAAGTAAAGATACACATTTTTTGTGACTCCTCACAGTTTTATTCGATGTAGCCGAGGTGCAAGATTAAGAGATTGAAGTTCAGATCAGTATTGTCTCACTGCCACATAGGACTGAAGGGAAAAGCACCCGAAAGAAAGAGCTTCTTTTTTTTTAAAGAACACAAATGGTCATTTCACTGTCTTATTAAAAAGAGAGGTGACACAGCTTCCAGACTGCACATTTAACTGAAATAAAGATGGTGTCAGCAATACATAGATGAGCTTTTGTGTCTCTATGTTAGAATGGTTGCCAATTGGAAAAAGGTCTCACAATGTCAGCTGCTTTACTCCACTTCATTGCCCTCAGAAGTCTTTCCATCTCTCCTCCTACTCTTTTATCCCTGCTCACTGTGTTTTAAGATCTGCAGGATGGAAAGATGTCCTTCAGGTGTGTGTATAAGAGAGAGAAAGAGGCAGTGTCTTTGGCCTGATCAGACAGATCTCCCCTAATCTTTGAGTACAAATTGGCTTTAGCTCCAAAAGAGCTTATTTCTACGTCACTCCATGAGTTGCCGAAGAAAGCAGGTCACTGTAAAGGAAGCTTCCTTTAATCTGCCAACAGTTTGCAAATGTGATGGTCAAACTATGGATGTTAAGAGAGAGAAATCAATATTGATGCTGGAACTTTACATTTTATTTCAGAGGCTTACAGACCATACACATTCACTCATTACTAGGAAACACCTCAACCAACTAGAATTTCATCCAAATGTGCACTCTCTAATGCAATCTATTACATTATTCACCAACTGTCTGTTTTCTGTTTCCCAAACACTGCTTGTATTCAATAAATCCTACATTATGTGTGCAAGTGTGTGTAGAGTTTTTCATTTCTTAGACGGTTGCTAACTTACACCCTTTAACACAGGTTTCACATTGTATTTGACTCCAAAAGCACCAGTTAATGCTTCCTCCTATCCTGGTGCACCACCACCTAACTCCCTTCACAATTCACATTAGGGTGGAGGCCCAAGGGTGTGGATGTGAATGATAGACTCCGGGAGAAGAGGGAGAGGAGGGGTATTTGTCCTCCTCAGGGACACAGAGGGATCTAGGCAAGGACTAAGAGGATTGAAGAATGGCCAAGGCTTTTAGCACAGGTCACAATAACCTGCATCCCGTCCTGCTGCTGCAGGGATGATGATGGTGTGGAGGTCTTTCTTTTTTTCAGATGTAGCCGTTGCACAGTATTCATTCAAACATATCCCCAATACACACATCCAGATAAAACAGACACTTTTGAAAGTCTGTCTGCTCCCAAACATGTAATGCTGTCCATTTTTACTTTGAGGCAGGTTCATTGAGGCTGAGTTCACAAGAATGCTGACAATCAGTAGACCCCAATGTGCAACTAGGCGAAGGTTCACTTGCAGGGGTTAAGTCCCCTACAAACCTGGCCCATCATCTCATTACCAATTAAATGACTAAGAGAGACTAACTGAGAGGAAACAGTCAGCGTTTTATTGGCTCTTTGTCTGTGGAACAGATTACCTGCAAAGCTTGTGCAGAAGTTGTGTGCATATGGAGCACCCCCTGCTGGACCCAAAAAATACATCTGACTCTTTTACAGGTGAGAGGGCATGAAATAAACCGTGCTCACCTGGAACCTGCTTCTGCAATCCAACACCTCTGAAAAAGCCATTCATTTGGAAATAAAAGTGTGAGGAAAATATGAATGTAGTATGGGTGTACAGTGATAAGCTGAGCTCAGGGGATGCAGATCAGTTTAATTTGATACAAAGCCTGTGTTTGAGAACATATTTGAAAGCATACTGTGAGAGGAAAAAAAAAAACGCTAACAGATACTTAAAAAAAGATAATGATTTAATAAAACGAAAAAGATGGTAGCATTAGAGCTGATCCTACAGTGAGACGTCGTGATGGTAGCATCATTCTGTGGGGAGGATTTTGCTATGAATGGCCCAAGATCATCTAAGAGGACCTGAGAAGAGGTGGGAACCTATTCCAAGAGCAGGTGAAGTTAAATCTGAAAAACTGAAAGAGTCCAGGTTCTACTCACACTTGTCACATACTTGATGACAACTTGCCATCTATTGCAAACATTTTTATAAAAGGAAACCAGCCATATAAAATATGTCTGTGCCACCCTAGAGATTACATGTTTCTCAGCTGGATGGTTTTTCAGATTTTGTTTTCAGATTTGATTGAATCTGGTCCCTGCAGTTGTGTGGTCTCGCAGCAGAGAGTCAGTTTTATTGGTGGAGTTGAGCATAAAAAGACTGTCTGAGGTTATTATACTAACTGTACATCATGTCCATATGTGATAAGGCATGTGGTTTTCCTGATATCAAACAGATCCCTTAAGGATTTATCCTGTAAACAAGACAGTGAATGAAAACCAATTACAATGTAGTTACTTTCCTATACTCAAGACACAAATTTTGGTCTTTGGCTCATACAATAACGAGTGACCACTTTATCCAGTAAAAATATATATTATGGTATGACTCAACACACCAAATTATAACTGATAAAACTATGCTAACATAACAGGATGAGCAGGGTTTTTTTTTTAAATGGAAGCTTTGCTTCTACTTTTACTAAAGATTTATGCATGCAGCTTATTTTGTGTCCACAAACTATCACTAACGGATACTTGAAAAGTCTAAGTCTAAGATGCATTTAGCTTTGTTTGATCTATTAATGAAAATAGATTTTCACCGACATGTGAAGGGTTTATGATGGGGGTTTGGGGGGGGGGGTCTGCTTGTTTACTTCCTGGTTTACGTCCATTCATACGTCATGGCCCTCGCGGTGTCTGGTGTTTGCGTCTCCTCACGTCGCTCTGCAGCAGCCAAGTCCAAACCGAGGGTGGAAAACCATTTCGTTTAACTTTTTTGTCATGACCCGAAAACAGAAGGGGTTTTTTATTTTTTGCTCCCGGACCGGGTCGTGATTGCGGGTTGGTTTAAAGTTGAGGTCCGCGTTGAGGAGCGCTGACTGGACGGAAAACGGCGACATCTAACGGCTGAAAACTCTTAACTCGACCTTGTTTATGTCTTAATAAACTATACCGTCATAGTTATATATTTTTTTTTACTGTGACTTACGTTATTTCTTGTTGTTGTTTTCTAAATAGTTTTAAATTTATAGCCTAGTTTACTTTGGAAGATAGGAAAATGGACGCAGCCAGTCGCGGCGCTGCAGACCCCTCATTATCATCATTATTATCACCTGGGCAGAGCTCGGGAGGCGGGAAGAGGAGGAGGCGCCGGGCTCCTTCCCCGGCCGCAGCGCAGCGAACCGTCCGACACTCAAGTCGGGTGACATCTCCTTTCAGGGCGGAGGGGGGGAGGAAGACGGGGGCGAACGAGCCGCCGAGGTCCGCTGACGGAAGAGAGAGGGAGCCCGAGAGCCGCCGCGGAGCAGCTGCTCCCCCGGATGGTGCTGAGGCTGCTCCCCTCCCAGCGAGCAGGGCGGATGCTGCCGGGGAACATCCCCGATCGCCCTCACCAGCGCCGGCGCGTCGCCCCGGTCTCCGCATACCCTGCTGCCAAGGCCACCCGGCCGGCGGAGCGTCGTCTCTGACGGAGCGGGAGAGGGAATCCGCGGAGGAGGAGCGGGAGCCCCCGGAGGGAGGCGGCGCCGGCGCGGGCCGCGGAGCGGGCCTCGGGTTGGGTCTGCGGAGAGAGGGATGCTCGCAGGCTGAGCCCGGCCACTTCCACCTGCTGAAGACACCGAAAAGGAGCAGAGCCGCGATGCAAAGCAACACGGAGAGCGGGGCCTCGGCGGAGGCCGCGCGGGGCCAGCCGGGGCCGGGGCCGGGGCTGGAGCCGGGGCCGGCCATGGGGGCCGCGGCCGTGACACAGCAGGACCAGGCCCTCGATGAGGAGATGGAGAGGCTGCTGGAGGAGAACGAGGACCTCAAGGTTTGATACACTCCAAATAACACAGAATGTCTGTCGTGGAAATGATTCAGAAAGCTTGTAGGCCAGTGAAAAAAACTGATTGAAATACAGGCCTCTGAAAAAGAGTAAACATCTGATTTACCACATCAGGATAGCAGCAAATATTTCATTCATTTATGAAATGTTAGATATTTTTAATGGTTGCAGCGTGATGGAATGATCAGTACATATACAAGTAAACAGCTGGTTTGTCTGTTGAACATCCTGCATGTCTCAACAGACTAACTCAGAACACACTGGCCAGGATTTACCGACCATTGATCCTCTGATCAATGCTATCGGGTGTATCCGGACAGTCAACACTGTCAATAGCTGGGATTTAAACTTTGCGCATGTTCAATACTGCTTAAATGTTCAAGCAACTGTTTGGAATCTTTTTACAACAGTGGATGTATTTGGTTTACTCACTCAGACAGTAAAACTACAGTAAACTCTGTCACTCTGTAACTGAGACACGCGCTCCACTGCTGTGATTCACCTAGTGTGAAATAGAGGAGATGAGGACCGAGATGGAGGAGATGCGAGACACTTTCTACGAGGAGGACACTTGTCAGCTGCAGGAAATGAGGCGTGAGTTAGAGAGGGCCAATAAAAACTGCCGGATACTGCAGTACCGACTGCGCAAGGCCGAGAGGAAGAGGCTGCGCTACGCCCAGGCCGGAGAGATCGATGAGGAGCTGCTCAGGAGTCTGGAGCAGGACCTAAAGGTATGGGGGGGGGGCACCACAGCTGAAAAACATGTGGATATTTTACAGATTAGAACCACAGTAGTCTTACTCCTAACTCATTTTACTGGTGGCAACAATGGTTTTACACAAAATTTAGTCACTGAGTAGTTGGAGTAGTTTAAACGATACAAAACTATTTAAAAGTTAAGCTCAAGTAGACATAATGGCAAATGGGGGATTCAGCTTAACAATTGGCAAAAGATCAACCAAAAAAACTTTATGTCCTCACACAGCCTGGTGGAAAACATATGGCGATAATAGTCCCCGTAAAGCCCCATTTGTTTTCATTTAAGCTTTCACTTTGAATATTCCAGGTAGCGAAGGATGTTTCTGTGAGGCTGCATCATGAGCTGGAAAAGGTGGAGGAGAAACGCACGAAGACTGAAGAAGAGAACGAAAAACTGAGACAGAAGCTCATTGAAGTGGAGGTGTCCAAACAGGCCCTCCAGAATGAATTAGACAAATCCAAAGAGGTAAGCATCACTTGGACTCTGACCCTTTTCTGATTATATGTAAGGCCCTGCACTCTGGGTTAATACTTTGTTCAATTAATATACATTTTTAAGATCGTTCTTTAAAGTCAGAAAAAGTCTAAAGCCCTCTTAACGTCTTTGTCAAGCCTCCAAGCAGCAGACTTTGTAAAGTGGCCTTGATCAGGCCAAGTCAGACCTTTAGTTTTAAACATTGGCTGCATTCCCAGAGACATGTGTCCTTTTTTTCTTTATCTTTTTGATAAAGACCTGAGATCTCTCTTTATATTTCCATCCTCTGTCAGTCTCAAAAGAGAAGAGGAAGCAAGGACATCCAGAAGACTGACAAGAAATCATCACAGACTCCCACCGAGGTGAGGCGCTGGTGCCAACAACAGCAGATCCTTTGGTTGTTGTTTTTTTTTGTTATTTTATTATTTTTATTTTCGAATGAATTTGCCATTAAAGATGGTGTAAGGAGACATCAGGAAGCAGCACTGTGAGTAATATCCTCTGTCCTGTGCAATAGTCCACAGAGTTACGTCATCTTTGCCCCCTTCTTGCACATATCTCTAAAGCAAATATTTGGATTTTCACTTCAGGGAGCCCGAATATCCAAATTAAATCTTAGAATTCAAAGTCCAGCAGTCAGACTTAGTGGATGTTAAACATCCTTTTGGCACACAGACACTGCACAACGTTTTCAGTTTAATCCTAAATCGTTGCATCTTTGTAGGTCAAATAGGAAGTTTTATCATGATCTACTGGAGTGTCTGAAGCTCACTATTTATGCAAAGTCTAGCTTTATTTTTATTTTATTTTTTTGTTCGTAAGGAGGATAATGATGACCTGAAGTGCCAGCTGGCTTTCATGAAAGAGGAAGCCGTGCTTATGAGGAAGAAGGCAGCCACCATCGATAAGGAGAAGGATCGTCTGGAACAGGAGTTGCAGAAGTATCGCTCCTTCTACGGAGAGCTGGACAGTACCCATCCTAAAGGGGAGGCCGGGGGTCCCCCGACCACCCGCGAGTCGGAGCTGAAGCTACGACTGCGGCTGGTGGAGGAGGAGGCCAACATTCTGGGGAGGAAGATAGTCGAGCTGGAGGTGAGAGCAGACGGTTCTACGCTGCTCTTGTTTTGAGGTCGATGTGATTTCTGAGACTGACCGCCATCTTTTTAAAACAGGTGGAGAATCGCGGCCTCAGGGCCGAGCTGGACGACCTCCGCGGCGAGGGGGAGGGAGCTGGGAGTTCCGGGTGTGGCGCGATGGGGGGGTCGGGCGCCGGGCGAGGGTTGGGCGACGACCTGACGGAGCTCCGGCAGCAGCTGCAGCTGGTGGAGGACGAGGCCGAGCTTCTGAGGAGAAACCTGGCAGACGCCGAAGAGCAAAACAAGCGGGTGACCGCCGAGCTCAACAAATTACGCTTCAAGGCTGGAACTCATGAGGGAGGCGCCAGGCATGGAGGAGCTGGAGCCCTGGCAGATGGAGCCAAAGCAGAAGCTCTGCAGGAGGAGCTGAAAGCGGCAAGGCTGCAGATTAACGACCTGAGTGGAAAGGTATGCCAGACTTCATGGATGGCACTATTTCCTGCTCTGAACCGAATAAAACATCATCAAATCACATTTAATTTTGTTGATAATTTTGTTGCTGCCTATGCTTACAAATTCTTGTGTCTTTAGTGTTTTATAGTAATTCTTGTTTAATAATTTTTTTTACAGCGAATGTGATTATGAGTTCATCCTGTTCATAAATGTTAAAAATTCACACTCATAACTAAAGAATCAAACCATAGGGTTACTTTTTTTATGGTAAATGTAAATGTTACCATACCATATTCTTTCCAGGGACATAAAACCCCTGTTATTCAGCTAATCTTTGCTTTACAGACAAAGTCAGGTTCTTTTAGGTTTCTTATTTTCATTCTCAGCAAATACATAGTAGCTATTTTCACAACTATGGAGATGGATTTTTCCCAGTTGATGTGGTGTGCGATCCATACTTGGTTTACTTTTAAGCTAGCTTTGGCTTCAAAGCGCTCAGTAGAACTGAAACAGTTGTCTTCATAATGTTTGCGTACTCGACCCGATTGTGCTGCTTCTCTTTGCAGAGGGTGAAAAATCCTATTCAGATGGTCATTTGCGTGAAGGCTTTTTGTCTCTGGTCTCTATCGTCCCGATCAGGTGATGCAGCTGCAGTACGAGAACCGCGTGCTGCTGTCCAACATGCAGCGCTACGACCTGGCCTCCCACCTCTCGCTGCGGCCCAGCCCGCGGGACAGCGACGCCGACAGCGACGCCGGGGGGGCCGCCAGCGGCCGGCGTGAGAGCGACGAGGACTCCACCTCCTCTCGCCTGCTCCCGCCGCACCGCAAGCGCGAGGGCCCGGTGGGCGGGGAGAGCGACCCCGACGAGGTGAGGAACACCAACGGCAGCGGCCGCAGCCTGACGCCCACGCGGGGCCTCTACACCCCCCCCGGGCCGGAGGGGGCCGCCTGCTCCGCCCTGGCCCGCTTCCTGCCCGGCGCCCGCTGCAGCCTCCGCGAGAGGCAGCAGATAATAGACATCCGGGCGGAGGCCGAGAGGCTGGTCCGCACCATCGACAGGCTCATCGCCGATACCGCCACCTTCATCTCAGAGGCGAGGGTCTTCGTTTCCAACGGCGATCTGATGTACGGGAGGGGGGGAGAGGAAGGTGGGGAAGATGACGGGAGCCGGATCAGGGAGCACGAACTACTGTATCGCATTAACGCCCAGATGAAGGCCTTCAGAAAAGAGCTGCAGGCCTTCATTGACCGACTGGAAGTGCCCAGGCTGGAGGACAGGCAGACAGAGGAGCCGCTGTCGGTGAGAGCCAGTCAGAAAATGTTTGCATTTCAGTGGAGCTGCCAAAGGTTCTTAAGAAGTAAATCCTGATTCCGCTTCTCTTTTTTCCTACTTGGCTCTCATCTGTTATCCCTTGCCCACTTTTCACTTCCCCCAGATGTTCCAGCCCATCATTTTGCTCATCCTCATACTTGTGTTATTCTCATCCCTCTCCTATGCCACTATCTTCAAATTAGTCTTCCTCTTTACTCTCTTCTTTGTTCTGTGATGTAAGCCTTTTCAGTTCACATTGTCCTTCATTTGTTTTGGCTGTTGTTTTTGTTTTGCTTGTCCCCCCTCCCCCGCCCACCCCCTCCAAATCTCGTGTTATTTGTTGCCAAGGTAAACCCAAAAGCACAGAAAAAGCTCAGCACTTACCAAGTTGCCAATGTGTTGGTTGACACTGGAGTCTACATATTCACTGCTCAACACCATCTTCATCAGTCTCTCCAGAGGGTGAGTTTCAGAGTTTTGCTGTTTAAGGCTCTAAACTGAAAACAGAGTGTGAATAATTCATTGAAAATTAGGAGCAAGTAGAGTTTAATATTTGTGTTTCCGACTGGGGCATGTAGAATTGGTTTTTATCTGCCTTTGAAACAGCCCAGGTCTTCTGTAATCAAGTGGATGTATTGCACTCTTTGGGGTTTCCTTCTGTTAGCTATGTCATTTTTATGACTGTAAAAGCTTTGGTGCTCCACAGTACAGCAGAAAAACACCAAAGCGAGTGCTTCTCTCACTTACTGCCTGAAATGCCTTTAGCCGTCCAGTGTTTTTAGTGGACTTAACTAAATCCCTGTAAGCCGTCTTCACTCACGAGCTTTGGAGATTTTCAGAAAAATGTAGGAACCGTTCAGCTCCGACATGTAAATGAAATAAATGGAAATCCATTACACTCCATACCAGTTGATGAAAGGTAGCCTAGTGAGAACAAATCTACACACTGCTCTGAAACTCTCTGAGTGTGCTCATGCCGAGAGTAGAGAGGAAAAGCTCCAACAGGGAGAACTCCTCATTCGAAACAGACGCAGGGAGGATGGTCCTTTACCAGAATGAAGGCCCAAACGTGTATTCTCACCTGCCACTCCTCAGGAACATTTTCAGAACTTTCCTAGACTCAACGCACATGCGGAAACACCACATGACATGCACACACCCTCTAGCCACACCTCACAGTGCGAGTTTAACTTCAGCAGAGATTCACAGTCGCAGATTAAGATGCTAACCCTGCACCGTAATGGCTCCGACAGGGGAAAAAATGCGTTTAAAAAATCCACAAAGTGATTATGGACATATGATTTAACCTGAAGTCTTTATCCTAACCAAGTCTTTCAAAGAGGAAACTTTAGAAATGATTTGATCAAATCTCTTTGCAAGGATTATTTTCTCTTCTGAACTGCTCTGTCTGTTCCAGGTTGACATTTGCTGTGCCATGCTGTTGTTGTCACCTCAAGGTACAGTAAGGACAAAGTTTGTTTGTTTGCCTTCCTTCAACACGGTTAGCTTTGTCAACTTGTGGCAAACTCAACAGGTGTGAGAAGGATAACTGGGAGGATTTTAATCATAATGTCAAGCGCTAAATGTCAGAAGGGGGAACCCCAAATCCCAGTAGAGCCTCTGATTACGATCGGGCGTTAGTCATTGATGAGGCAAATGAACAGTAGCACCTGCTCAGGATGAGAGACTAATCCGGGGTCAAGTTTTTCCAAAGTGTGGTGCTTCTTTGAGCAAATTGAAGCATAACAATCAAGATGATGACACTACTGATCCTGTGATACAATATTGTATCACAGGACCATTTGCGAATATGTGCCTTAAAACATTCAAGCCTGAGATCATTTTAGGTGAACCATAAATCACTTTAAAGCCGTCCCAAAAAATGCCAAGTATCTCTTCAAAGTATGCTCGACATGCCAGGTATCTATTTGTCAGTCTCCTTTTCGTGACAATCTTCAATAAAGATATTATTGACTGTGACACATTGTTACTCACAGTGTCACCCATACCCCGTTGGCATCCTTTGGAAAGATGATTTGCAGCAGGATGGTGGTCACAAGACAAAATCTGCCCAAGCACCCTAAAGCAGAGTAGCAACAGAGAAGCCTATTGGCCGGGAGGCCGCGTCTTGAAATAGCTATGTAAACACTTTCCCTCGCTCTGTGGGCCCCGGTAATTTTAGCCTGGATGCTGGTGACGACAGTCGTCCTATCCAGAGTCTAAATGTTGGAATAAATGTGACATTATGATATTTGATCCCGACTCCGAGGGCGCGCCCACGTAAACACTGGGGGGTCTTATAAAGATTAGGGAGCCCGGCAGGAGCAGAAAGTGTTTATACCCGCTAGATAACACACCGGACCCAACACTGTCAGGAGAAGGGGGCCCTTTAAATCGAGCCCGCGTCGCTTGACGTAATACAGCGAGGGGGGAAAAAGTGAGTGGAAACACCACTGAGAGGAGACTTTACGGTTTGCCAGCCAGAAGAGCGAATGTGACGGGCAGAGCGGAGCAAGTAGCGCAGGGACTAGAGCCATCTGCGGATTTATACTGCAGGACAGGGAGCACCTCGGTAGAGCCAGGTAAGAATAACGGGTGGATTTAAAAGGAGTTTGTGACTTTGTTGCGGTTTGGGGTGTTCACCGTAACGTTGCTAGATTATTCTGAAGTTTAAAGAAAAAACTCTCAGAATTTAATGTAATTTATATAGTATATTGGTATATCCTCTTCTCTTTTCGTCGGACATGACTCCATCCGCACGTCCCTCTCCCGAGCCCTGGGGACATTCAGTTACCTTACAATGCATAGTTACAAGATTATTAATATCCCAACTCTTACATCACGCCTGGAGGGGGGGTTGGGGGGGTGGCTGGTACATTCGGGCATTTTCGACAAGATACTTGTAATTCTGAACGATGACAACAAGACTTAGCCGTGTTAATTTACTTCACATTAGCCTTAACACTACTCCTTTTAATAGTCCCTTTGGAGACAGGAGTCATTAGCAATTAACAGGATTCACTCGTTGACTTGAATGCATCATTTAAGTGACAAAGCAGAATTATATAGAATTAATTTTGATGTGACTATCTTTTTTAGTCTTAACATTCCTTTTTATATTCATTCTGTGTTGCAAATAAAACGAAAGGACTACAATCTTATTATTACATCAGTGAATGTACTTTTGATATTATTCAATGTCAGAAACTATTACAGGCTTACACAATTGACACCATGCGCTCACTGTCAGATCAGGTTCCAAGCAAAAAGACCACCTCATTGCATGCTTGGGATATTTTTTCCCTCTACAAATGTAGCAAGGTGTAATAGAGGCAGGCTTGATGTCCAAGTGACTAAGAGTCTAAATGCTGGGCTCAGTGCTGTCATGCAATATTCCTGTCCACGTGTGCTGCAGAGTTACTGAACACTGACATGCCTGTGGATTTTAGAAAAGAATGCCAAAGCAGAGGGGCTGTAAATATCTGACCTTTGTGAGAGTGGAAAGCACAACAACATAAAAAGTGATTTATGCAGTTAAGAAATGTGGCGACAAACTGAGATTGGCGTACATTAAAGAGAAATTAACAGTGATTTCTCATACATGTCATGCTCCAGGCTTCAGAGCCACTGGTGAAGCCGAGTTGATCTGAAGGTCACAACATCACACATTAAAACCACGTTTGGATTTGAGAAAGTACAAAAAAACATGGAAAGAAATTAAAAACAACAAAGCAGGATTTTTTGGCAGTCTATTAACAGGCCTCTTTCTTCCTTTCTTTCTTTCTCTGTTTGACCTGTTTAGTGTTTCCAAAGCCATCAATCCTTCCCATCCCTCGCTGTCAGCCTGAGAGTGACCTCTGACAGGAAAGTGAAAAAAGAGAAAGGGGAAACTGCCCTCTGAAAAGGCCTCTGGGCATTGTACAGCCTGCGTCATGGCGGCCATCGATTTGGAGGTGGGGCTGGAGCGCAGCGGGCGGGGATGGGGGCCAGAGAGGCCAGATCAGATGGACAACTTCGACTCAGAGATGCAGGAGTGGGAGGATCAGCTGCAGGACATCCAGCGGAAAATTGAGGAGGTATACATTTGCCCAAAGAAGCTGGGGTGCATCACATCCCAGAGATTTTGCTCACAGGCCAAAACACCTCAACATCACCTTGCATTACTTTAATCTCAGCACTTAAAGTGTGGTCCATGATGGGCAAAATTCAATTCACCAGTGACCCTTCTCATTGGATAATTCTGGGCAATAGTGTATCAGATGAAGCTGATAGATAGAAATAACCTTTCTGTAGCTTGTGTCCATGGCATCCACAAACACACATGTGGAACGTCTCTCTAAGTGAGGCCTGTTTTGCTTCCTGCTGAGTGTTAATTGGTGTAAATTCTTTGTGTGTGCCATAATTAACTGTTGGCTGCACACAGTCTGACTCAGCCTCTTGGCCTTGTTGGAAGGACAGAGCAGGGAAATGTTAACAAGCTAATTAAACTGCGATGTTGTGACAGACATGCTGGACACACGGTATGAAAGTGGATACTAAAAGGAGGCCTCAAAGGTTGTGGTGGGAAACACGTGCTCGCGCAGTGTGTAACAACACCTGTTGATACACATACATACAGGTTTGATGGTGTGGTGGGTTTGTGGTTATGAGGCCTGTGTGTTGTGGAAAGGCCACACATTCTGGGAGGTTAAGATATATTTTGGGTAAACAGAATCAACAAGAGAAGAGCCTCATGTTTTCTCCTGTTTTTCTGTTGCAGCTGTACAACGAAGTTCAGGCCCGCAGGGGAGCAAACGACAGCACCCCCGACAACCAGAAGAATGCCGGCCCGTTGGAGTGTGGGCTCAGGCACCATGGCAATGGCCTTTTTGTGCCCGGCCACCACAGTATGAATCAGCCAGGGGACTTAGGTGTGCCTCACCACTATAGTAATGGCTGTAACTACACCCCCAGTGGGTGCAGTTACGCCGGAAGTCACCAGAACAGCTATGGCCACTGCCACTCCAACGGGGTCTCAGAGATCGGAGACTTGCTGCAGGATTATTTGGGCAAGGGGAAACAAATAAGCAGGAAGAATAATGGAGCTCGCCACGTGGTAAGTACAGATGCTTTGCTGTCCTGTGCCCACACTCAAGTCCAACTCTGGCACTTTGATTACACCAAAGTAGCTTTTGAGAAAGATATTGCGCTCTGCCAACATGATTAGATTGGACATGTCTGTTGTGCTGTCCTGAGTGTGAAGAAGTTTAAAAATAGGGTTTTCCAATCTCTTTTTAGCACTTCAGCGACACAATCAAGGTGAGCCCAGACATCGCTGCGCACCAGGATGAGAGCAGAAGAAGAGCTAGAAGCCAAAGGTAAGCGGTTTCTTTTCTCTACCCGTAAGAATGCAGATTATATACATGTTTCTGATACTTTCATTTACCTGTTATTTTTAACTAGGCTTGGGCCAGGGCAGGTTTTGAGCAGTTTTGAGGAAACCGAAAACAGGAAGAACCAAGTGTCTCATGTGATGAACTCCCTCCACAGAGAGAGCTCCCCCAACAAGGACAACACGGGCTCAAAGCCCCCTCTCGGACAAAGAGATTCTCCGGCTGTGCAGGTGCGCTCGCAGCTGCCGGTCTCTTCCGCCGAGTCTCCCTCTCTGGACAAGAAGTCCTTCAGTCCAGGAGTCCTGGGAGACAGAAAGTGCGGCAGCCCCTCTGTTCTCAGGAAGTTTGGGGCTATGCTTCAGGAGAACGAGGGCAAAACGCTCACAGAGTCTGGAGTGGTGAGCCATCAGGCGCCAGTGCCAGAGGCAAAGTGTCCCACTCCTGGCTGTCAGCGCAGAGCCTTTGGAGCCACTGGAGCAGCCGGCAGGGTGCCCGTGCGTGTGCCCGCTCAGAAAATCCAACCGGATTCCGACGTGCTGACAGCAGAGACAGAGGCCAGCCAAGAGTGGGGCTTGGTGTTGGACTCTGGGAGGCAGAGCTACAAGGATCAAAGAGGATGCTATAACAGCCCCAAAGGGTCTCATTCTGGTCACCAGCAGGCCCAGAGGCGGTCACAGGTTCCAGGGAGCCCAAAGATGAGACCCAGAGCTAACAGTGGGGCAGAAAGAGACGGGGGCAGGAAGCTCCAACATGCTGATTCCAAAATGGACCACAGGGCCATAAGTGCCTCCCCAGGAGCTCAGAGGACCCAGAGGGGACAGGAGGCCCCAGGCGGTGGCCATCTGAGGGATGAAGGACTCATTGAGCTGCTGGACATGCTAGAGATCCAGCATGAGTACAGCTCCAGTCCCAGATCAGGACCCGCTGCCTACAGGCCGGAGCTGCAGCAGGTGGGTTTTGCTCCGCCGTGCCGTGTGGCGCACGCTCAGCAGATCTGGGCTGTGCTCTGACATGTGGTGCTGTCCCTGTCCAGGTCAGCCCGGGGGAGGCGTCCCCAGCCAGGCCCCGGAAGAGCTTCTCTCGTCCCGCACGGCCGGCCAACCAGCGACCTCCGTCCAGATGGGCCAGCCGCACGCCTGCTGCCAGAATCTCTGCCCCATCAGGCCCCATTTACCACCCTCCAAGCCCCCTGTTCCGCCCCCCCAGCCCCATGTGTAGAACCCCCAGCCCTGCCCTGAAGCACCGGCCCCCTCTCTCCTATTCTCTTCAGGCTGAGACTGTCATCATGTGACAGGGTTCCACCTTTAGCATGCTCCCTTTCTCCCGGTCAACCCTCTGTGTAAATACTACAGACTTTTCCTGTTACACTTCTGCAGCGCCAAAGAAATGCAGACTCATCTTGTTTGTTGAAAACCATAAACACATCCGTGACATTCTCCAGTGTTTCTATAGCTTCGTGTCTGGCCTTTTTCAACCCTTCAGCTTTGTTTTCCTCCTTTCCCACCTATGCATATTCCTCTTTTTGCTATCGAGTTTGGATGTTTTTCTGTGTAAGTTGAATGAGCATGCAGCCCCACGTCGGGAGGGGCTCGTGACCATGTGATCAACAGGACTCTTGCTCAATGTGTTCAGGTTGCCCCAGCGCTCCCAGCCCGCAAACTGCCCACGCCTGTGACTCTATCAGAATGTCAAAAATATATTCAAGATGTTGGAATAACTGTGAGAAATGAGTCTAATATGCCTTTCATGTATTTTTTCCTTGGTAATAAATCTGACAGTGCTTTGATGTAGAGGCTGTGGCTCTGTTTTGCTGCTGTGGTGGTGAGGATGTTGAGGACTCCTGGTATCTGGCCTTTGGCTGCGGGATGCCAGCGCTCAACGCTGTCAGTTTTCCCCGCAAAAAAGCCACCCATCTCCAGCATCTAATAAAAAAAGAAAATGCTCAGTGAGGCTCACAATCACAACCGCCTTGATCACTTTTCAGAGAGGAGTTCCTTGCTGGCGTGGCGGCGTGCTTTGACCCGCCGGCTGGAGTCGTTCACACCGCCGCGCGCTCGCTGAGGAGCGGTCGCGTTTCCGGTCGTTATCGGGATATCCAGTGTGCAGCACGGGCAGATCCCTTTTCACGCTGCGTTTTGCGCCTCATAAGACTGCACCAACACCGCCCCCCCCCTGCTGTGCGGGGCCAGGGGACACACTCACACACTCACAGATGCAACCGATGTGTGTTATGTGCCGGTTTAGGTAGGGAGTTACCCTCTTATAAAAGAATAAAAGAAAGAAACACAGAGTTGACCCTTGGCAGGGTTGGGGGGTGGGGTGGGGTGGGGGGGTATGCGGAAGTCCTTTGGCCCCATGATGCCTCAGCCCTGTCACCCAACCTCTGGGTGCTATGTGGCACCTCAGATGGAAATAGCAAGCGTGACGTGTGTTTTGGTGCCAGAAATCTTATCCTGCTGTCTTAAAAGGGGTATAAATACTAAGTGGGAGGGGGGCGGCTGGTTCTTCCACCTGGCCTATCCACCAATGACATGCCAAATAGTTGATTACAAATGGATGTTTTTCAAGTGAAGGGTTTTTTCTGAACTTTAAGGAAACCATTTTCCACCTGACATTTGCTCGTACAGTTGCCGTGGTTCTCCATGTTGCTTTTTCTCCTTTTTCCCCATCTGGAGTTCCACGTTGGTGTGTGTAAATGACAGGTTGGCATCTGGGTGGGCTGTGGTATTTTAACGAGGCGTCCCGTTGGCCATCACTCTGCTATCCCCATCAGGGCCGCTGTAAACTCGACCCCCCGCCTGTATAGACTAACTGTGAAACAGAAGATCCGCACTACAAAGGCGGAAAATTGTAAATGTATTTTTTCCTCCTCCTCCTCCTCCCTTGCTCCCTTGTCTCCCCCCCCCCCTCCACAGACGCTGCTCTCAGGCCGACACGGCGTGGTGGAGCTTGGCACCGCATGTCCTCCGCTGGCCGGCTGATCACAAGAGTGGACACAGTCGGATGAAAGGGGGAGAAAGAAAGGGGCCAAAAACGGGAGCAGACAGCTGAACGGTAGCCATGGCTTCTCTGACGTCAGCGGGCCATGAACACCCCCCCCCCCCCCCCCCCCCCCCCCCCCCCCCCCCCCCCAGGGGGCCCACCCCCCCTTTAAAAAAAAAAAAGCTGTTTGCATCACAGCAGTGAAACTTTCCAGAGCCTCTGGCCTTCGTTACACAACTCGTTATATGCCTATTTGTACCTCTTGTAACCCCATTTCCAGTCCACAAACACATGGATGATTAGTCCGTACTTACTGCTGCTTCCTTATTTATGATAACCGTATGAGCAGCGTGTGAGCTCACGTCTTTGATCACAGCCAGGTGCTGATCTGCCCTTTTGAATGAGTTACTGTCCGTGTGAACACATCGATGTGCTTCCATCCCGGGGACTATCATCGGCCCTGAGAACCAGTGGCAGTAACGCTAAAGCTTTAAATCTAGCCTCCCCTCTCTGAGGATGAAAACAATTCTAAATCAAACTGCAACATGCATTCATTTGATAGTTATTATTAGCTCCGTGCACGGTGCAGGTGCTCTGTGAGGGTGGATTCTGTGGGATCTGTGTCCTAAATGGACCTTTTTCTCTAGGGATACAACATTTAATTAACTAAATAAACGGGCTTTGACACTTGATGGAGATGAGCCCGTCACACCTCAGCGTACGCTTTCAGGGGACCGACCTTTAGCTCAAGTGCCACAAGTTCCATATTATTTTATTATTATTGATTAGCATCAAAGTATGCTTCATAAAGGAGATTTGCTCTTTTAGTCTTGGATCTGACTGTAAAAGCCTTAAAAGTCACATGTTGAATTGTGCTAATTGAGATGCATCTGCTCTGTTGTCTTCTGGTCACTGAAAGTGAATTAGCCATGGACCAGAGGTTGTAAACAGATTTTGCCAAAAATCAAGGATTTGGACAGCACAGTAACTACATAATATTAACTAACAATATCAATAACTACATGATGTCATATATAACAGGAGTCCCATCATGACCCAACTTCATTCCCAGACAGGATGTCCCTTATTTTGAGTATATTACAAAAGTCAAAAGAAGCGATTCCAGTCAAATAACAACAAAACAGTTCCTCACTGATTTCTGAAAATTAACATCTCAGCTTAGAAAATTCAGAGATTCAGATCGATTTGGGTCTTTATCGCATGCTGACAGTTCGTATTAATTGATTTGTTTAACTGAAAACCACAGCCAAGTATCATCGCTCCAACAAAGGAAATAAATGCCATGGTAGCAAATGGAAGCATCTGTAGCGGCTGAGAGGAAATCATTAGTAACCAGGGCCATATCTATGCTCTGAATGCTTTCTGGATCTCTTCCAATCACCTCGGTGCCAGTCATTCCAAATGTTGAGCTGCAACTTTTCCCCCCTTAGATAACTCAACAGTATGTTTGAGTGAAAGTTTAACAGCAAGCTTAAAACTCTTCGAGGAACTTTGTCTCTGCAAAGAGATTTCTTCAACTCAAGATGGCTCTTTATTTTTTATTCTAAACCCTCCTGAACATGTCATAAAATACTGGTATAATCAGAAATGAATGGGTACAATACCTTAAACATAAAAGAAGAAGTTATGGAGCACATAAACAGACACTATAGAGATTATGAGTGTTTCTGAATGAACTCCGGGGGGCTGACATGAAGTCTTCTAAGATGTCTCACACACATGGGAGTCTCACGTTTTATCTTGCCCCTCCCGGCCCCCCTCCACCTGTCCCCCGTCCTGCGCTCGCTGTCCCCGTCTGTCTTGTATCTCTGTCCTGACTTTCACCAGAACTGGGGGTAGGGGGGGGGGGGGCACAATAAAAACCCTCAGCATGTGTCAGTTGCTACTGCAACAGACCCAAAATAGATAGAGAAGCGCCTCCTTTATGTGCGTGCATGTGTGTGAGTGCACGTCTCACATAAATGTGAATAGAGGAGTGACAGGACCACCCTGGTCCGGAGGTTAAGCCTCAGCGGGAGAGAGACGACCCCAACCGGAGCCGGTTTACAGGCCTCCACATGTTTCCCCTTTACAGTAATGATATAATGCACTTTTCTCTTGTTAAAACTTAACAGACAGGAGATGTTTGCTGGGTGAACACGGCATTGGCGTTCGGGTTATACGGTGTTTGCATATCTCTGGCCCGTCACGGTTCTCCACCTACACTTGACCTGCGTGTGCAAAGTTCTACAAGTGATTTGGTTCAAACAGACAGCTGCTGTGCAGCCTGAGTGTCCATATTAGCTCCTTCACATGATTTGAGCAAAAAAGGAAAAGGAAAAAAATGTGAGATTCCATTTGTCTCTTACATTTAGGCACTGTAAAGAAATCTTTCAAAAAGAATTAATGAATAAGCCTCTTTGACTTTAAGGATGTTTCATATCATAATTAAGAAGATCCTTGATGGGTAGCATGAACCAAATAGACCTCAACTGCTGGGGTTTACTGTTTCATTATCGATTTAGAGATTTATCTCATTTGAGCAAAGGTGCACATTCAAATCCCATTAAAATAATTATTTTTTTACCCACTTGTCTATAAAATAGGTCAAAAACATTTAATTAAACTGGTGTTAGGGTGACAATCTGGTTCAATCCATCTTCTGTCTGAGCTGTCAGTGTGTCCGCAGCCATCCATTTGAAATGCCGTTTGGTAGCAGTGAGAGAGACGGGACCATTAAGGACAGCCTGGAGGAGCCGGAATTCCAGGCCTCTTATTAAAATAGAGAGGGGCCTAAATATCTCCGCTTTGAAATGTGATCAGTGCGGGTCGCCTTTCAAAACAAGAGCTGCTTGCTCTCGTGGGATTAGCTGGTGTTGCTCGGCAGAGGTGACTATAGTGGTCTATTAATCGTGTGACAAATGGCAAATTTTCAGTCCAGTGTAGTGGTCAGCTGGGAGCCACTACTCGCCTTGAAGCTGGCCTCTGGCCCTTTGCCTCACACAAACATACACACACACAAAAGAGTGTTCAGTCAGTGTCCAACACCCCACTGCCTGTGTAAAAAAATGTTTAATCTCTTTCAAAAGGACTCAGAGAGTGGTGCTATTTTAGAACAGGAAATATAAAGACAGGTTGGAGTTAAGTCAAAACAGCAACAGCTGTCATTTTTTCTCTTGTTTCCCATGTTTTCTCCTATACCCTTTGGAGCATTTAACATTTTTGGTAGCCATCAATAACAAGGAAAAATGTACATTTAACTATGCCTCTTTCTTGATCTTAACTGTCTGAAATACCCAACTTTATCCAAATAGTTTGTAAAATGCAAGAAGACGATGGTGGATGAAATTTTCAGTAAACTGCAACTGAATGTAATTATTTTTTGATACGAACAAGTGAAGACCTCAATATTACATCATAAAGGGAAAATTCCCCCCCTCAGTGGTATATTTCCACTGTACCATATTAAGTTCTTTAACGGGAAAAAAGCATTGTTTTCAGCTGAGTATAACTGTCAGATTCAGCTGAAGCACTGGGCCTGACGACACAGACTGGAGCCGTATCTGTGGCTCTGTTCCTGCTTTAGACGGTCCAGCAGCTCCTGGGTGTGTCCTGCTGGGCAAACGTCCAGACAGACAGCTGCATTTAGATCCTACATTTTACTGCACTAAATATTTAAGGATTCCCCCATTTTTAGCCACTTCACATACAGCAAGTAGTTTAAGCTGGTACTTCTTGTTCTAAACAAATATCAGTGATGATTCAGATCAGTTGACCAGTCCTTTTTTCTTTGTTTCTTATTCAGTCCCGAATAAATTCAAGGTACGGCATAACTGAAGCCAACGGCTCGGAAATGTCTAATCAGAGTAAATTAAAGCTACAAAAAGACTTTCTTTCAATTGTGTTTGAACTCTGTAACCAACATGATTTGTTCAGGGGACTTGTGCATTGAATTGGGACACTACTTTTGTCAATTTGATTTAGTCCCGAACACAAAACACGGGTGTCACAGATGAGAATGCTACCTCAGCAAGTATGTTTGGATCCATAAATTCCATTCCCCTCCCTTTCAGCAGTTTCCACTTTAGTCCAGGAAAGAAAAATCAGATCTAAAGCAAGCTAACGTTCTAATTAGATAGATTTTAAATGCTCAGTTACAACAAAAAGGAATTAAGTTGATCCTTCTGCTGTGGCGTTGGTGAGTATCCCCTCATCAGGCTTTGAACCATAAATAACGTATCATACATGTGCGGCTCATATCTGGGCAGGATCAGGGCGTCCCCATGGCACCAGAAGCTCTGAGACACCCAAATTCCCTGCAAGCGGGAGGTATTAAGCTTCACACTAAATTAATCTCACATCAGTATTGTGTGACACTTCATGTTGGTGATTGATGACTTGCTTTTTTGGGGGGCATTTGGAGCTTTAAATCCATGATGTGCTTTTGGTCTTCTTTTAGCAAAAGACTTCCAGCCATTGGCAGGCTCCATTAACCAAAAGAGGCACAGCTTTATTAGCGCATTGCAGTGAAGTCTTCGATAAGTCGTACGTGTCGCTGAAAATGACAACCTGCACGCATCTGCGGGCTGAGTCGGTGGCGGCATTACCGTTGAGCATCCAGCACATTTTCATCTTCAGTAGCACACGACGACCAAAAATAAAACCATCCAATCTCTTGCTCCACATTTGGAAATAGGGCATAGCGTTCACTTTATGATTTTAGGCGTCATCGTAGTAACACGGCAATACGGGGCTGATATAAATGGTTCGGTAGCAGCAGGCTTAGGGAGACGTGTCACTTGATAGGCTTTAATGATGTCAGGTTGATGAGGGTTACAGTGGGAGTGAGCTCATCCCTGGCTCCTGCAACAGTGAGCTACCCTGTCTGTGAATCTCCGTGTTATGGTTTGAAATACTGTCCACACACTGTACACCGGTGAACAGACCAAACTCCCACAGCCGCCAGGCACATCAAAGGAGGATGTGCAACACATACCGTCCAGTGACTGCGGCGGACAGTCGGAAAAACTGACCGTTTTCCTCTTAAACTTACACGCAAGCAATATGGGAGGAACAAATGCATAAAAATCCGCAGGGCCATAAATAATCCTCACAACAATGCTCAACTATGGGCCCCGTGGTGGCGAAAGATGCCAGCTTGATGGGCCTATTTGTGGAAGTCTTGGAGACGGGGGGTGTGAAAAAGCGGGCTACAGGAGGCCCTCGGCCATGAGGCGTCGCACACGTTTAAAGGGCAGCTATGTGTCTGAAAACGTATAGCGGCGTTGTCTCCCGTCTGTTCTGCGTCCGGCTATGTTTGGCTGTATCATCTACAGCATTCCCAGACGAGAGGTAGTTTGAGCCCTTCGAAAAATACGCCCTGAGATGCTCAGCATGGTGGTCCGAACCCCTGAAACTCAGACTCCCCCCCCTTTCCCAGCATCAGCGCCCTCGCTCCTCACATTGAAAAAATACCTTGGGTCTCCACTCGTCCCCTCCCCGCCGCCCAAAAATGCTCCTCCATAGCCATTTTATCCAAACCCAGTCTGTCTCCATGCCTCATAAAACTGTCGATGTGTTATGGAGAGCAGGGGGGAGGCGGCCCACATTTTATGTAACAGACTATTGATATATCTATAAAGCTGTAGAGTGTGTCAGAGCACTTTCAGCCAAAGCAGTTTAAGCCTTTTTATTGGTCCATCAAAAGTTGGAGTAAACATGGAAGAAGTGTTGTCGGTGGAAACGCAACCATTTTGTTGCCTTCTTAAGAGAGCTTTGTATAAAATGAAAAACAACGGTTAAAATACAAAAGAAATAAATAGAATGTGATTGGACTATGGTGAACGTACTGTGTTACGGTGCCCTGAGAGAAGAGACTATTATGTAAAAGGAATTGGCCTTTTTAAAATCATGTGTCAGAAAACATTGTACAGACTTTTTTAAAAGTACTTTCTAGTACTTTTAGAGAGTCCTTCTTTCACTGTAGTCCACTCCGGAGGCTTGTATGGTTGCGTGTGTTTTCTGTGTTCACCGGCCCTGCTATCACCAGCCCTACGTTCCCCGAAGAGAATCCCTCCACACTCCAGCGTTGGCATGATTCTGGACAGATGATGAAATCGCTGCTGCTGCTTCTCATGCAGCACCACAGCTCTACCTTCAGAAGCCATTTGATCCTCAGACATTTACAATCCCTCACATCTCATTAAAACCGATGCGGCTGTAATGATCTCTGGGCTTTTTTGGAATGAGGTCCTGAAGGGAGGGTCAGTGGGTTCAAAGCACTCCACTTGTGGTGGGAAGGCAGTCTATGGCAAAAGAAAAGTTCGCGATCAGGTTAAGGCTACCACAAAACACCACCTAGTGGTTACAGGCCCCCACCTCCAAGAAATTATATAGAAAGTATGACGGTTCAAAAAAGCATCTTTACAAAGAAATATATAAATATCTATATAAATACATAATACTCAGATTCTGTTGACAGCACATGTTTGCTGTTAATCATGTTCTGATCTGTTTTACTCAACTAGGTTCGATTAATGTCATGAAATAAAGAACTTTAGACTAAGCTTTAATACATTTGAAGCCATCAGCAGGCACCTCAACTTATTTGTGATACAACTAAAGGTCCCAATAATTCTGCTCAGTCCGGTAAACACTTATCAAGGACCCAAAAGCAAAAACAACATCTGGCAGCCACGATCAGTTATGTGGAAACTCTCATGAGAGGCGAGCCAAAGTCTGGCTCATTAAGCCACGATTCTAATTCAAATCACAGTCCGATCTCACACACTGCGCTTGTGGTGCTTTCTTCTCTTGGCAAGCGTTGCCTCTCAGCAGCATCAAGGGCTGCTTCAAACTGGCTTCAAACTCAATACATACACACAGATTGTGGACCATCGGTGAGAGACTTGATAGATTTGCTCATCGTTCAGAATTCCGGCTCCTAAAATTGACCCTCGCCCAGGATTTACCGATTACTTTTGTTTTGTCCTGGAAAAAAGACACTGGAAAAGTGAACTACATTACAGGCTGTTATTGAGAGAAATGTTAATTGCTTCTCATAAAGATTTTTTTTTGCTTTTAAGAATGTGGACTCATAATACAACAGCTTGTTTGTACAGCTTCTCCGTCTCTCATTGGCAGGTTTTCCACCAACTAGGCACCAACTAAACGTTCTCGTGCTGGCAGTGGCTGGACAAAGCAGAAGTTTCTTGATTTGTGCAACAGCTACACCCGGTGGACCACTGAGGCCCACTGCACTTTACTCGAAAATCGCCATGGCCCAGCAAAACCTCCGTCTTCCTGTAAAGGGATTTCAGATTAGGCCGTCTATATTTAAGCTGTATTTGAAATAAATAAATCACTCAGTCAGCGTGTAACTTTAAATCATAGATAGTTTTAATCATTTTGACAAAACACCACAATGGCAAGATCACACGGACAATAAAAAAACAACTTGTTTTGGGGTTTTCCACACAGCGGGACACAGACAGTGTAAAGAAGGCAGCAAAAACAACAGCCGCCGGACCAAAACGGGAAAAGCAGAGTGAGAACAGGCTGAGCTCATCCGGGGCCCGGCAGCTCTCTGACAACAGTCATGTGCACGGCGCCGCCACAAAAAATAGGAATCCAAATGTGTCCGTCCACATATATAAACCAACAGTTTCCAGTGGATCTGCCAGTAGCTTTTCAGCACCCGCCGCTGCTCACAGACACACAGCGTTATTCAAACAGGACGTGAGGCGCAAGAGGACCCTCTGCCTTCACACGTCACACACACTTACACACAGGAGTTCAAATTAAAACTTACTGATTAAGTGTTGGCTAACTTCAACTTAGATGAAAAGAAGAAACAAACAAAACCTGAACGGCAGAGCAGAAGGAAGGCAGTTTCCACCCTCTGCTTGTTAGATCGGATGCTACATTTAAGCTTCAGTTATTGGTGGGGGAAAAAGTACAAAAGCATCAGTCGAATGAATGAGTCAGACAGATGAGCGCCCAAAGCCTCTTTCACCTCTGAGAGGTTCCATCCATTTTCTGTAGCGCATATTCCCAACGGGGTCGCGGGGTGAGGGGCTGGAGCCTATCCCAGCGTACAATGGGCCGGTCCATCGCAGGGCCACACAGAGACACACAACCATGAACAACCACATATACTTAAAGGGCAATTTAGAATGTCCAATCAACTTTCTCTGAGAGGTTGTGTTGGGCAGTCAGGGCTTATGTGAAGCCATTACAGATGCTTCTGGGTCAGTGGTCAGCAGGCCGAAGCACTGATGCAGGAATCCCGTCAGAGAAGAGGCCCCCCATTTCCTGTGAGGTACCAGGGAGAAAAAACACACACCCACATATGTGTGTATACCGGCCTCACTGTGTCAGCAGTGACAGTGACGGCTTTTTACGGAGTTGTTTGTGTCCTGCATTGCTGTCATGAGCTGGCCGGCCCGCCTTTCTGTCTGGACTCATGTGCAATGGAAAACCACCTAAACCAAGCCGTAACAAGGTTGGACAAACATGTGGGGCTGAGTAGGTCCTAATGGAAAACCCCACTAGACAGACCCCAGGGCTACGTCACTCTGTGGAAGCAGTTGATAAACAAGTGTGATCTATTTCCTGCTCAACGCTTTAAGGTTGTGCTGTTTTAGTGGGCAGCTGTTAGACTGGATCGTGAACTTTGATGGCTGGTGAGAAAATGGAAAAAGAGCGTTTCTGGGTCATATTTGGCACGTGATAAGCCGGGCGGGTGGCTGCGGTAACACGACAGAGGTACTTGTACTTCCCTTTGCTTTTTTTTGCTGAGCTGATAAAGAGTTTGAGAACTGTAAAGTGCGGGTCAGACCCCACTGGCCGCTCACACTTCTGTCACAGTGCACTGACCGTCAGGACTGCGAGAGCGGACGCTCAGGCCGGAGGTGGAGGGCATGCCTCTGGGAGGGACTCTGGTTGGCTGGTTCTCTCTCAGCGCTCTCTGCCTGCTTCTTCCTTCCAGAGATCCCGCTCTCCCCCTGCCGCACTCCTTCTCCTCCTCGCTCTCGCTGCTCCCAGATGCCTCCTCCTCCTCCTCCTCTCCGCCCTCCGGCTGACTGACGAGGAGCTGGGAGAAAGACTGTTCCAGGGGGGAGGGAGATGGAGACAGGGGACTGCTAAGATGGCGCCCCAACAGAGTTTGGGGTCTCACGGGAGGGCGGGACACCATCACCCCAAAAGATGAGGCCTGCGGCTGGCCTGAGGAGTCGGACCCATCAGCTGAGCTGACGCGCTCTGTGGCTGCCGCGGCAACAGCGGGTGGACCAGGGACTGGGACTGGGACTGGGACAGGGACAGGGTCGGGCTCCAGCCTCAATCCCGCCACCCCTTTTTTGGGGATATCTACAACATCTCTCTTTATCTTGCGCCTGCGGCCATGCTCATTCCTGCGATACTGCACCATGCTTTCCAGATCGGCCACATAAAGGAACCCCGCGATCAGCATCTCCGTGCTCTTCTTGCCCTTCACGAAGGCCTCCTCCAGCTCTCTGCTGGCCCTCTCGTCGTACTGCCACCAGCCGTTGCGGCCCTCGTAGTACCACGCGTTGTCTCTGTGAGACTCGCTGCCGCCGCGGCTCAGCCCCGCCGCCGCCGCCTTCAGTTCCTCGGGAGAGAGGAGAACCGGCCTCTCCAGGAAGTCCTCGGGGATCTCCTGCCGGCACAGAGCGCAGCGCTTGCTCTGCCACGACGCCCCCTTCACACACAGGAAGCAGAAGACGTGGCAGCAGGGCAGACACACCGGGTGCACGCAGCTCTGCAGGCAGATGGCACACTCCGGGTTGGGGGGGACGGTGGAGTTGGAGGAGTCCTCTCGGCCTTCCTCCAGCAGCTTGGAGGGAGCCGAGGCGCTTCCAGAGATGTCCAGCTCTCCGCAACCCGCCATGCTGCGGACAGCAACAAAACTGTCAGCTCACACCGGGAAGAAAACACGCTTTCCTCAACCAAACTGTTGTGCTGACTCGATGACAACACGGGGGTGCAGCTCAGCACCTCCCTTTAGTTGACATGGGTTTGTCGCAGTTACCAAGTCTGTATTGTAAGCGATATGAGCTATTTTTGGATCACCAGCTGGAAAGTTTAATGCCTAATTGGGCATATTTCCAAGATGTGTAAAGTGTCTCCCACTTACACTTAAACATAGGAAAAAACAAGGTTTATACCCGAGGTTTGAAAAGCGGTGTGAAGACTAAGTGTCAAATACACACTGAACATGAAGATTTTCTGCTCTAATGAACATGCTGGAAGCACAAAAGTATTGCAGTTAGTTTACTTTAATTATTTCTTCTTTCAGGCAAATTGGTAAAAGTTGTGACATTTCTAGATTCGTTGGCCATTAATCAGTAAAAGGCACAGACACAGAGATCCCACATTTGTTGCGTTTAAATATGGGGAATGCAGTGCCAGACAGTGATAAATCCCCCTTTACGACCATCTGGATTTGTAACGTCCATTCAAAAATAAAGGTATATGGATGAATTCGGCTCTACCTCTGAGTTCAGTAATGTATGCATAGATTCACATCTTGATGGTAAAATGGTTTTAAAAAAATAAAAAAAACTTTTATAAAACTGCTTTGTAAGGGGGGTATTTTTCAAAAACCTGTTTGCTTGCTTGTTTTTGTCATGAGATCTGGCAACCCAGGCGTTGTTCTGCTGGGAACGCCCTCATTCACATGCGACGTTAACTTCTCTACATGGCCAAAAAGAGTCTATCTAAAAACTTAATTATCTCAGTTTAAAAACTGGAACGAAAAGGATACACTTGCCGATGATTTTCCACGTACCTCATTTGTTTTAAGTGAATAATGTATCAAAGGCCCTTCTCTGTGACGGTGCGAACATACTAGCTTGGCTAACGTTATCTAACTTGCAGATGATCTTGTTGGTAATGTTGGGTGTTAGCCTCCAGGTTGTGGGGCACATTTCCCCCGGCCTGCTATTTGAGGCCAAACATCGCCTTTGTAATCGGCAGCTTGACAGTTCAGGTAGCATATTTTTAGCCTGCTAGCGCCAACGGGCTCTTCGGTTGGTCAGGGGATAAACTCACCTGTACACCGGGAGCCTCTAAAAGCGTCCTCAGTCGAAGGAGAGATGGGGATATTTATACAGCCGCCTTCATATTTGGTTGTTGAGTAATTTATGACGAGCAATGGCCGCGTCGCTGCGTTATTTGAGCCTCCGCAGCGCCCGGGGCTTCGGTGAGCCTGGAGTGACCTCTCACATACCAGCACAGTGTGCGTGTGACGCGCATGCGCACTGAGCGCCAGCTGAACTCTGCATGTTGCAGGATGCTATCCCTCCCACCATGAGTTTTACAGCATATTATTTAGGTAATGGAGCTTTGCACACCCTCTGTGTCTCTTGATGTATTTGGTATGTTTGTCATGTTTTTTTAAAGCATTTTGCATGACAGTACTTTATTGTGTGATTGGTCTTCTAGTGTCTCATTTGGATTGTTTTAAATGTCTATTTACCGACCCTGTCCATTGAAAATATTTCATTATTAATTTTTTTTTTAACTTTATGGATGATATTCTATATTTTTGGCAGAATCCCAGAGTTCATAACATAGCTGATGAGCTCAGTAGTCAGTTCTTGTTTATTTACATGCATGTATATGCATATGTGTTACAGATTTTCGTCTCTGTTGGAAGGTGAAATATATAGCTATAATGCAGCTATTTAGACAGCAATGAATGGGAAACACTCTTAGTTATGTACAAATTTAATTTACAATATACAATCAAATAAAATGTTTTAAAAAATTAGAGAGGGGGGCCACATGGGAATTTTCAACCTGTACATCAGTAGGCATCTATTGTGCGCAGACAACTACGAAAGAAACATCATATAATGTAGAAAAATTGATGGCAAAACAGGAATTCCACTTCAAGGATAGAAATAGAAGCCCTGCAATGGACTGGAGGACCGTCCAGGGTGTACCCGGCCTCTCGCCCATCGACTACTGGGTTAGGATCCAGTCCCCCCAGCGACCCCATTAGGGATTAAGCGGTTACGAAAATGGATGGATGGATGGATGGATGGATGGATAGACACACATGTAATATAAGAGTATACGGAAAGGCATCTACAGACAGATGTGACATGATTCTAATGGTTGATGCAGTCCATCAAAAATTCCAACCCTTTTCTGGCTCTTTTTGATGGGGCATTTCCTGACCTCTGACACGTGTGGGCAGGCGTTCCCAGTCCCACTGGGGGAGCGCAGAACTTGGCGGGTGCGCTCCTCCTCGCCCCTCCGGTGTGCTCTCGTGCCGTCCCTCTGCGCACACTGACCCCAGCTCGTCCACTCTCCAACCTCACAGTGAACTTAGAGAGATGGAAAATGATGATGAACGAGCACTCGTTTAGGGCGAGATGAACTTAGCAGGGAGGGAATGTGCCTCACTTTGAGGGATGCACTGCATGGACTGCACATCTGGCTCGGACCCTCTGGGACAGGTGTGGTGGCACTGGCCGTGGAGCTGGTACGTGTCGGCGCCACACTGTGTGCAGGTGCTCCTGGTGGCACACACCTCGCAGCCCGCGGGGCACTCTGCCAGAGACGGGCACTCATGACTACGCTGCTGGACGCACCTGTACCCCGCCGTGGGGCAGCCTCTTACCTGTGCACTCCCTCAGCGCTGCGTTTGCCGCCCAACCCTTAGGACAGCTGTGTTCACATTTGCCTCTGAACAGGAAGTGACCCATATGGCAGCGGGTGCAGAAGTTTTCACTGAAGCAGGAAGCACAGTCTGCCTTGCACTCTGCAGGCCAATGGGAATGAACCTTGGTCAGTGCAGAGTGACCACAGGGTTTAGTTTACGTAATAACATGTCGCTGTTAGCACAGAGTGCTCTGTGGTTTGCATGTATAAGCATTGGTCATCATAACTTTGGGCTTTAGGTTAGTGGAAATGTAAAGTGGAGTTAAATGTTTGTTTGTTTGTAGCCCTTGCCTGTTAGAGAAAACCGAGAATTAATTAAAATGCATGCCCCAAATTCTTTCAATATAAGTTGTACAAACGTATACTTTTGTAAAATAGCTGAGAGCCCAACATAGTCATGCTATACATGTGACTCATGAGAGTCTACTGTACAAAAGTCTAGCTGGCTTTTTTAGTTTTGTTAAAAAAAAGAATCCAGATATAAGTCACTGGTACCTACTGTTGCAGGTGCTGATGTGCGGAGAGCGCATGCCGAAGTGACCTCGAGGACAGGAGGACAGACACGCCCCTCTCTGCCGCATCCCGTCCAGCTCCAGGTGGAAGAAGAGTCGAGGTTTACAGGACAGACAGCCATTCAGGGCTGAGCATGTCGCACAGCCTGCCTGACAAATGGTGCTCAACGAGGAGCTGCCTGTCATGGATTTAAGGGGGGGGAAAAAAGAAACGGTACAAATTTTATGAGTGTGTGTGTGAGGGGCTGGGGGAAATGGATGTTTGAGTCCAGCTACAAAAAAAAAGGTCAAATTCTCATGGTTATACAACAAAATTGTTCAGTTCTGTTCCCTTTGTCCCATTTACAGCATGATCTGGTTTCCAGTGTGCACATGAGTAGAGCTAGTGGAAATCTAAGACCAGATTGTTCCCTGATAGCTCACCATATGTAGCAACTGTTATTTATTATCTTTAGCTAAAAGGGAAAAAAACAGGACTAACTGTAGTGTTGAATATTTGAATAAGGCACGTCAGGCCCCTTTAATACTTACGTTTCCATCTTATAATATTTGAGCTGTCTTGGCCTTTCGAAAGATTCATTAAGTGCAGAATCCAAATTATTGATAGTGTGTGCATTTTCCTTTGCCCTCAGTTAGACACTCATCCGGTCAGCAAAGACAGCTCGCCTCATGCCCTGAATCCCATGTTAGGCGTTTGAAAACTCGGCCCGGTTCTCCACAAGCCGATCAAATGGACCCACCTAGAGACTCCAGCTTGGCTAATACAGCAGGTGACAGCAGTATCCTCAGCAGGAGAAAAAAAAAAACAACTGATGAGCATTCCTTGAGCTCACTTGAGCTGCTGGAATGCCATGGAGAATGCAAACAGAGGAGAAACCATCATGAGATAGTCACAGCCCAGATCTAACCTAAAGTTTGGGAAACTGCTGTGGGCTCCTTTCTTAAAGGCACTCCTACTCCCACCCACTCCTCTCCTTCAGCCCTCCCCCTGATCCATTATCACTCCGACAGCGTCAGCACTCATAACACTGCTCATTCCACGTGACGATCAGTGGGCTGGACACATCCGTCCTTGTCTCGTCACGTAAATCTACCCTCTCTGATCAGAACCTGAAAGCAAGCAGTAAACAAGATTTTGGGCCATCATAATAAGTTGGCGCTAACCAAACTCAAATTCCTAAAAAACAAAAACAAAAAAAAACAACAACAAAAAAACCATCTCCTGCAAACATTAACCACAGCAGCACATGTGCAAAGGGCCAGAGGTTTTAGTGCCCCCCCCCTCCCAGGGGAGCTGTATATGTGTTTATGACCAACACATGAACCAACCACAAGTCAGCTACGTTCATGTTGGAACGAGCTGTATTTCTGTGTCAAACCAAGGTTGCTTTACAACTCCTGCTAAAACAGTTTTGGTCCCTAAACACCAAACTGAAAAAAACAAACAAACATTAAAACTCACAAGTCAAAATTCTCAGAATGATCTAATAAAATCCAACAACAGAGATAATCTGTGGCCTGGACCCATCCTCATTCTCTACCCATCCAGCACCCGGCAGGTCTGGAGCCTGCCGCAGGGTTTGTGATGGAACGATCACGGAACACGAAATGCCAAAGATGCTTTTCACTGCAAAATGCATTTTCACGCATTCTGAGATCCGACCATCTGCCCCTGAACTGTACGAGTACTTTTAGTGCCCTGCAAAGTGGTGCAGCAGCAGAGGAAGTCAAAATGAAGAATGACCTATAAGACTAAAGAGTGAATGGCTGCGAGCTTGGGCGAGGCACGTCCACACCTCTTCTCTCCCAAGAGCTGTTCATCACTCAGTTTTTAAGCTGCTTTTACTTGCTTTATTTGACATCACAGCAGCCAGTACCTCACTTACTGCTGCAGAAGTGTTGAAAAAACGACGCTATTGGACAAAAATGAGCTTTCACCATACAATCTGGATTTCATTCTTAGTGTAAAATTCTTTATGGTTGTAACAGACTGTTTCTCAAAGGAAAAAAAAAGACAAACCCATACGCTCTAAGATCAGTGTGAAATTCTTTGACATTTACCAACTTTTTCTAAAGGCCCCCTGATGACCGTAGACTACAAAAGAAATATGCTAAATACTATATTCGATCAGTTAACGGGGAGAAACAACACTAACATGCTGAAAACCGACCAGGCTTTTTCTCGCGTGTTTAGCTGAACGTGCTCATCCCAAAACACAAGCCTCTCAAATCACTGGCAAACCTTATCGTCACTGGAGATCGTGACCATCAAAACCAGTCGCTCCTCATTTGTTTCCATTTAAAACGGGTTTTGGGGCATTCTTCACAACATCAACACCAACCTAGAAAGAAGCCCTCCTGTGGGGAGCAAAGTGGAGGGAGCCAGTGTGAGAGCCGCATCCAATTCCAGCGCGTCCACACTTTCTGTGCTCCAGATCAGCCATGAGCCGGCACGCTGTGCTTTCCATTAAGATACGGCTTCAGGACAGAAGAACCCAAACTACACCATGATTTGACTAACCTCCCCCGTGAGAAACTCCAGCTCAGAGAACTGGAGAGGACAGGAAGGATCTGCAATTGCCTGGAAGGTGACAAAAGCCTCTGTCCTCTAAGACTTCAGTTGTTTGGACTCTCAGGATGTATTATCAGCTGTTTTGGGAACTCCGTGATTCTTACTCTCCTAAACAGACATGCACTCCACTGTCAACCACAACACACGTCTGGGAAAACATATTCTGCAAAAAGTCAATACATAACATCTGCGTTTTTTGTTTTTTAAGTCAAATGTGGCGATAAGACGTGCCCGTTTCTGCTGTTTGACTCATAAGGTGCTAACATGTGCTCCCTGTTAAGAATTGCATTGCATATTTGCTTCTTTGTTTGTCTGGAAAAACATCACAGGGAGAACCGGCAGATTTACAGAGAGACTTACCCTGGAGCTTTTTTTTTTATCTTGAAATAGAGGATGCACATAATTGAGTTGGATCGGACTTCAATAGAAACAGCTTGAGAAAAGAGTATCTAAAATCCTTAAAGAATGTGAACAAACCTAGAGCTCATGACAGGAACTTCTGAATATGCAGGCGACTGCTGCTTGGCAATGTCATCCATCAGCCTGCATGCAGTGAATTAGTAAATGGTAAGAAAAAGTAAAAAAACTAACAAAAACAGGTGTGTGAAAATGCTCTTACAAAACCTTACAAAAAGCCCCAGGACTCAAAGAATATGGGTTCACTTAAGCTTTGAAACCATGAACAGATGTGTTATCAGATCTTAGGTGGCCCTGTTATTAAAAAACAAAACAACAATAAAACAAGACGTGTCAAACTGCAAGCGGGGAGAGGTGCTACCCACTCACACCTCCTTAAACGGGAAATGGAACATAAACATGGCAAGACCATCATCGCTGGGGTGCCAAATCAGATTATTCATGAAAATAACCACAAAAGGGCATGGAATGTCTGGACTGCCCAAAAACCAGGGGCAGAGGAAATGGTAAAGGTGGCCAACTCTGAGCAGAGAAGTAGGGACAGGTACAGGCTCTTTCATCAGACACAACACTGTTGAAAGATCTTTTTTGACCCCTTCTCTCTGAGGCAGCAGTCAGTCTGTGGTGGTAAGGAGCCAGCGGGATGTCATCCGAGGACACAGACAATCTGTGTGTCATGAAGCGTGCGGAAAGCGTGACAAATGATAGGAGAGCCAGGCGGGGGCTGATGGGATGTCAACACACTCCGGTACTGTCATCCAACAAGCACAAAAAAGATTCAGGACAAATGGTCAGTGAGAATAGGAGCCAGAATAATACTCAAAGGAATTTAATGAAAGTATACAAAATGTTCGGATACAGAAGACAGATGTGCTCGCTTCAAAAGGAATAAAACGATGACAGATTGTAGACAAATAACACACAAGGAAAAGCGAAAAAAAAAAGTCTTGTTACGAAGCACGATCCTCGACATCTTCATCCTCTTGCCTTTTTCAGCACTTTCTACAAAAAAAATACAAAAAAAATCTGTCAGTCCATTTTATATTCAACTGAACATCAAAACAAAAAAATGTTATTAAAAAGAAGAAAATTATTTCTTGTTTCTGTTACTGTTACAGATTAATTTATGATTAAGAAACATTCATGCTTATTTATGTCTGTCAACTGTCAGCTGAACTTCATCTTTGTGTTTCTTTTCACTGGCTTGGAAAATCTATCCATTCTCCATCAATAATACAAAAACATCTGGATGTCCTTAAAACAGATTTACCGATAGTTGAAATTCTTTGATGACAGTTTCAGAACTGTCAACAAAAAAGAGAAACACAGTAAGGAAACTCTTGAATCTATCACCACTGAAAGTTTTTCAGTTCATTTATGGAAAGTTAAAAGGACATGAACACAAAAAATGTCTGTCACATGGGCTCATCACTGAAATCAACATGCTGGTTATAACGAATGGAAACTGGAAAAGTCGAAACTCTATTGAATCTCTTCACTGAGCTCAGCTGAGGAAAAAAAAATCTTATGATGCATAGGGACAAAGTACAGCATGAAATTTAGTTTTTGAAGATGGAAAGATTCACCACTGGAAAACTGGTAACATAAAGCCAGGCAGATTGTCTGCAGATTGGCTAGGATGAAGGCTTTTTAATAAGGGAAAATGTTGGTTTTCATTTAGTCAACACCAATGTGGTCTCTAAATTGCCATCTAATACTTAAAAATGTCAGTATATCAGTATATATGCATATTAAAACAATACAAAGCTGGGAAGAACTTTCTCTGTGGTGCTTGTAAAAAGTCACATCTACATTTTAATCCTATTACTGCATAGGCAAAAAAAGTCCAATAACTATATTTTCTTCAGTTGTTTTTGAGAAACAGCTAATGAAATGGCAAAATCATCATTAATAAGACAAAATGTTTCAATTAAAATAATCATAAATCCGTAAATAGGTAGAAAATGTTTCGTCCTTGGAGACGGTAAAGTGGAGCTCTGCGTTGAAGAGTTCAAAATATTGTTTACTTTTGTAACACACAGTTGCAGTGTTAAGGTTTACTAAATGGAAATAAAAACACTTTATTATATTCGCCAATCTGGATATTTGAGGCAGTATTTTTAGATATATGACGCTTGAGTAGTAAAAAAAAAAGAAAAGACAAAAGTAGACCAATGGGTTGAAACTGGACTGAAGCTAGCACTGCGAGCTAACCTTATACACCGCTCGGATATGATGGGGTCTGATAACTGCTGATTTTTCCTCAAACGCTTTGACCTTCGCCTCCTCAGCCAGGCTATTCAAAAAGACCAGCGTCAGTAGTTCTATCTGAAAACCAAAGAAGAAATTGACTTCAAATCAAGCTTTCAGTTTGTGGGCTAACATTAGCCGAGAGCAAATCTCAACTACGTACCATGGCTTCTGATGCCGGCCCAACATTTACGTTGCCTTTTGCTTTCGCTCTGATGGTCTTTTTCAGTTTTGGTGCTTTATTCAGCATCGTAATTATTCTTACGAACAGAACAGTTGCGCAAATAGTCAATCAGTTTGTTTACGTATTTCAATCTCCCGCTTCCCTAACTTCCGGTTAAAGTTCTTCTTCGTGTTTTCCCCCTACCTTTGCGTCTGTAATGGCAATGTTGTTTGTGTGTGCGTGTGTTTGTGTGAAGTGCAAAACTGGAACCACATTGCTTATTTAAAAATAGATTATGTGTAAATAAATTAATACATTGTTACAGTAAATCATTTAAAAAAACTGTATCGGAATATAGTTGTACTTTTTAAGTTGATGTAGTTTTTACTGCCACCTAGTGGTTACGTCTAACTGCTCTGGCAGCGTCCCTGGCCCATCTACATCCGGGTCAGCGGGCAATGATGGCAGCCACCTCTGAGAAACCAGCCGGCATGAACAATATGCTGCAATTTATGAAACTTATCGGACAGCTCAAAGTAAGAATTCTTCCTAAAGTTGGCATATGTTTTATAGTGGTTTGCCTCTTTCTCTGTGGAGATAGAGACAAACAATTTGTTTCTACATGATACTCTGGAGAGCAGATAAAGGCTTCACTTTCTGGATGGCATCTCTGGTCAAATAGCTCCTCTTAGTGTATTTTGAAGCACATAACTCTGGTCTCCTGTGTTAATCTAATGACATATTCAGAGGAAAAAATCTAGCCAATAACATTCGCAATGAAATTAGTCAGAAATATGCAGCTCATATAAAATAATTTCTCCTGGTCAATAAGTTTATGCAGAATGTTTTTTCAAATGAATAATAAATGGAAAAACAACACACCTATACAACACAAACAGGATTTCTGCACGACTTTCGACTGTAAGAAGCTCCTTATTGGGGATGCGATACATACATTTAGATGTGTTTGGTTCAACCTTCAATAATTTTTGTTAGAGATGGACAGTTCTTCCTGTGACCACTCATTTGTTCACTGCAGAGGGTGCCACGGACCGGTTGGGTGTACCGGAAGGTGAAGAAACCTGAAAGCGTATCGGATCACATGTACCGCATGGCCATGATGTCTCTGACTATCACTGACCCCACAGTGGACAAAGACAGGTGGGGAGGGCACATTGTTGGATAATTATCTGATTGAAACATATTGATGATTGGGATTTTTGTTAATCTGCCTTTCAAGAATGAAAAGTGATGCACAACCATTTTTGACCCTCAGGTGCATAAGGATGGCTCTCGTCCATGACATGGCAGAGTGCATTGTGGGAGATATCGCTCCAACAGACAACATCAGTAAAGCAGAGAAACACAGGCGAGAAGAGGCAAGTGCCCGACAGCCAAAGGAATGAAGGTGTTTAACTTAACAATAAGGGGGGGCATCAGGAAATGATGAATGAAAACTTAACCTTTTGCTTTCCAGGAAGCAATGAGACATCTGACCAGTCTTTTGCCAGAGGGACTCAAACAGGATATTTATGCGCTGTGGGAGGTTTGCAACTTAGTTTATTTTTTGTAACAACGTATTTTTACTGCTTGGGCATGCTTGTTCATAAATGAACGGTTTCGGTGAACGTGCAGGAATATGAGTCTCAGAGCAGTCCCGAGGCCCGGCTGGTCAAACAGTTTGACCTCCTGGAGATGATCCTGCAGGCTCATGAGTACGAAGAGCTGGAGGGAACGCCGGGAAGACTGCAAGAGTTCTTCGACTCCACTACCGGTACACCTCCAGCCCGGCCTTCACCTGGGAAGCTTCCGTTTGTTTAGTGATCAACTCTCACGCTGGCTCTTGTTGGTTTGTCTCGACGCGTCTTTAGGCCGGTTCGAGCACCCGGCCGTGCTCCAGCTGCTCAGCTCCTTGAACGAAGAAAGGGCAAGTCACATGAGCAGCAACGATGGGGCAACGGATTCTGGGGAATCGCAGACTGGTAGTTCAGCATCTGAGCCGGCACATGCAGCAGCAAACACATCCTGACCACGCCTCTCAGCAGATCATGGACAGTGATGCAGCGGTGGGTCACATGTAGAGAGAAAAACGGCTTCAGGCCTCTGGCTCCAACCTGAGGACTGAATCCAAGGGGCTCAGTTTCAACCTGAGCTTGTGGCTCTTTACTAAAAGAGCTTTTAGGATAAAACTGCTGACATGCCCAGATGACGTATCAGTGTTAGCAGTCAAAATACGACCTCATTTCTGTCAGTCAAGAAAAATGTCTAAACAAATTAAACAGAATCGATCAAGTGAAACAGCAAAGGTGAGGTAACCTCAATATGTAAGAGAAAAAAAACTAAATAGAGTTCACAGTTAATGGAAACAAAATGTTGCTGCTGTGCAGTCAGACTCTCAAAATGTCTCCATCCCACGTTAAGGTTTATGATGCATTTCTGTGCAGGTGAGTTATAGTTGACAGTACATTGTAAGAAGAAACAGGAAATGTCAAAATCTGGTTAAAACATTTTAATTTTTGTACATCAGTCATAAAAATGTGTATGAGAGTGAATACAGAATAATACATGAAACAACAGTATTATCCTGTTTGTTGTAATTCAGTCTTTGGGTGCAGAATCTTTATTTTTTTCTTTTAAGCAATTGAGCCTTCTGCAACTTCTAAATGTGTTCTTTGAATCATTTTCCAATTACAGAATAGGCATATCATTCTCCCAAACAAACAGTTTTTAGTTCTTAAATGTTGATGCAACCCACAAAACAAGAAAAGAAAAACAAGCCCTCTCCTCTTCCTAAGCCACAGCACAGGAAAACTGAACACTTTGTAATGCTGATGATATGCTCAAGACATGACGTTACTTTGGTGGAAGAAATATCCGTTTATAAAGAAAAAAAATGTAGTGAGATTTTCATAGTGAGGTGAAAGTGACTCCATGCAGCTCTGTTGATTTAAATTCACTAGTGGAAAATGTTTTAGAGGAAAAAGAAAAAAAAAGCCACGAGTCAGTTAGCAGATAAACTAAATTGATGAACACGCATGCTTTTGCACACAGACTTTGTCTACATGCCTTGTGCAGAGTAGGTCAGTGTCCTCTCACTGAATGTGGCAGCCCCTGGTCTGATAACACAATTCACTAAAGGGATTTAAAAATAGTATCTAACATTCATCCAAGGAGAGATCGTCTGAGACACCAGCTCGGTACAGTATTAACATTAACTTTTTTTTTTTTTAAGTAAAATTTTTTTGTATTAACATTGTGCTTTGGTGTGAAAAGTAGCTGTGCTGGTTCCCTCGGACTGATCTCACATGGCTGTCTCCTCTTGTGTCCCCATTAAAGGAAGAAGGAAAGAAACAACTAATAACCTCTAAAGTTAAAAAAGTCTACGTTTTAATATTTTGTTTTGGGTTTTTTGTGTGCTCATGACGACACAACAAATAAAAAAGTGGGGCTCGACTTAAATGAGAGGAAATAATTATTTTAAAAAAGAAAAGAAAAAAAGCTGGGTTTAGATCCTCTGTTTCTGATTACCAACTTAAATCTGCTCAACCTCCTTTCTCTTTTCATGTCACTGAAGTCAAAATCCAGCAGAGGCCTCCCAACACTGTAAAAGGCAGAAGAACTAAAGGCTCACTGCATTCATTAGTCTCTTTAAGCTCCCACTGAACCCTGTCTTCTTTTCACAGCCGTCATTACCGGGGGGGAAAAATCTAAGCAAAACAAGTTACTTTGGTCAGGCCAGGTTATGTGGGAGTGAAGGGAACCAAAGGGTCAGGAGACTTACACGAGATTGTCTACACTTATCAGATGAGCGTATCGAGCCGTTTCAGTCAGAGAGTTGAGCCGAAAAACAACAGCGTGCTGCAGCCCAGCGGAGGAACAGTTTGTGGTTGAAGTCCAGCCGGCGCCTCTAACACGGCCTCTCAGAGCTGTCCGTCAGGTTGTTGGTGGGCGTGTCCTGAGAGCTGGCGTTGGCTGCAGACGACAGGACCTCCTCAAAGCTGCCGCCCGTGCCCGCGCCTCCAACCTTAGTCTGACGGGACAAAACCAAACAAACATGCATAAATATGGAAGATGTGGGGTCTGAGTGAGAGTCCCCCGGGCTGTTCCCCCCTCCACAGGCTGCAGGGGGCGCACTCTCACTGCCCACGGCGGGGAGACTGTTACCGCTACCGCTCAGGCTATGAACCCGCCCGCTGCCTTCAAGGGCTTTTTAAAAAATGTTAAGAAATTATTATTTTTTGGGAATGAGCCCATCGAGTGTGCACCACTCTACGAAGCAACACAACGGCAAAGAGCCACGTCGCACACTGTCAGAGGATGAAAGCAATTATACACAAATGATAGTGTTTTGCTTTCTTGGGACAGTGATTACAGAATCACTGTCCCAATTTTTCTACTACAATTAAAATAACAAGTTTAAAAAAAACAACTATTTCTATCCCTGAAAATATACATAAACAAAAAGCACATGAACACCTCTCAGGATATTTTGAGAGAATTTCTTTATCAAAAAGCCCCAAGCGTTAAACCCCCCACCCCCCCCCGCCGCACACACACATACACACACACACACACACACACGTCTCTTGTGGTGCCGTTTTTTTCCACCAGACGGCTGCAAAGACGAATGTGGTCAACAACCTGTAGGAAACATGCCGTACACAAACAGCTCACCTTGATACTGGAAACTGTGTTCTCAACTTTCTCCTCAAAAGATTTAAAGCTGGGGGAGTTTCTGTGGGGGAAAAAAAACAGATCCCTGTTTATTTTCTTTTTTCAAAATATATTTTATTACTCCCTATAATATACTGTGGGACAAGGACCAACCGTCTGGGATACTATATCAACACAGGTGACAATATTTACAACACTTAATGATCAATTATTAGAGCTGCTTTAACTATTTACAAAGTGCTTTAAAATATCGTATTTAAGTCAGTACAACAACAAAAAAGATAACTTTAAATAGGTCCATTTCTCACACATGTCAGAAAATCCAGAAGCAGGCGGGGCTGTTACCTCATGACGGGCATGCTCACAGAATGTCTGACAGAGTAACTGTCCCCAGAGAGCATGGTGAAGAGAAGAGTCAGCCATCAGCACAAAGCAACACACAGTTAGCAAAAAGTTACACACTCCGGCAGGGAAATACTCTCTTTAGCATGGAAGCAGTTGGTTGGAAGCAAAAGGACAGCACGACTACACTACAATTTCACACCGAACTGAATTCCAATTCAGTTCCATCTCAATATTTGTCAGATCTATTAGGGGGGGAAATGCAGCATGTGGTCTGTAATCCGTTTATTAGCTTGGCCTGAAATAGCCCAGTTTCATAAATTTGCTGCATTTAAGGATGTACTGGGATGTTTGGGACATCTCGTTCACATGACTCAATTCATTCCACTCTCTCAGAGGCCAAAATCAATTAGGGCCGATCCCAGACTGAGAGGAGCACCTGATTGATCTCAGCTGCACGCTGCTGTCTGACTAAGGGTCTTCTCTTCGAAACAACTGATTAGGCTAATCAGTTGCGTCATTCTTACCCTATCGAGTTGGATCTTGGGAAGCATGGGGGGGGAGATAGGAGAAACATTTTAGAGACTTTGAGAAAACTTGGAAGAGGTGAAAGCTATGGCCACGCTCAGCTCACATCACTCACACACTGATGCTGGTCACACAAAGACATCACAAAACAGGAAACTGGCAAGCAAGAAAACAATGTCGCTTTGAATGAATTGGGGAACCAAGCTGAAGGGCCATTTGTTACATGTGAATGCGTGAAAATGTTTTTATTTTACCACAGCGATCTGATTTTGTTTTTAAAGAAAAGAGAATAAATAAAAATACCTACATACTGAAAAATGTACTGTGATACAGTGAAACCTAGAAGAGTAAACCGCGATGTGGAATTGGATGACTACATACACAATATGCTCTGCAGAAAGCTGGTTTCCTGGAAAATGTATTTCCCTATCAGGTCATAAGTCGCTTCCAAAATCTTGAAAAGTCACATGCAAGTGAGAGATCCACACATTCTGAACTTAAAGATGCATGTGCAAAACAAAGCAAACCTGAAACCTACCTCCGTGGGAACAGTAACTCAAAGCCAGCCATGCTGGAATACAGCAGTGATTGAAATGCATTATTTCCTCTTAATAATCCATTTCCAAAAAAAAAAAAAAACTGTGACAAAGCAGGTTATGACATTTTATCTACTTTGCACTGTGAACAAACAGGTCTTTACAGGACAAACTGGTATTCTTTTAAAATGATTTTCAACTTCCTTTTTCACACAAATGCACTCTCTTTAAAAAAAATGTTTTTTTTAAAAAGTACTCGACAATAAGCCTAAAATCGGTCTTTGATCCCAAAATATTTGTATTGTTTCACAGGCATATAAAAACTGTGTTGCAGCTTCTTCTGCCTGATCATTGAGAGCTTTTCTCCCTTCTGCAACGTGAGGTCGCACAAACCAACTGTTGTCACAGTACACACAAGTTGCTCTGTTTATTTCACAATGAACAATGGAGGCAAAAGCTTGCGTCCTCTCAAACAAGGGTCCCCGGCGAGGGAAGGAGAGTGTCTGCGGGAGGCGGGTTTTGACACGGCCTTTCAGGCTCAGAAAGCGGCTTAATGCTGGCTTACATAATGTCAAGCTCTTCTGACCCGGCTGGAGCAAAAGTCACAGCTCTGCCCTATTGTGACGCGGAGATGGACAGCAAAGATAATATAAAAAAAACAGGACCAGATAAAAGTGTTGCGCCTCAGGTGATGGATAAGTAGAACAGGTTAAACCAGGCGAGCAGGCAGAGGAGTTGAAATATACAATCTGACTAATCTTTTTAATTAGCTGCAAACCAGCATTCATTAGGTTTTACTTTCAGTGAATACGGTGACTGGTCCTTCAGTTTTTCTCCTCAGGCTCTCCCGTTTACGGTTTTTGTTTAAGGTTTTTCGCAGATTAGCTGAGGGGGAACTCATATGTCCTATGTCAACAGGGATAACCAAATCCAGTGGGCAGAAGTGCGCACATTGTTTGCATGTACACTGTAAACCAGCACAGACTGAATACAACTTCTGGTTTGTGGTCGGTCAGTTCCAGGACACTCAACTCAAGTAAAATATGGGACGCGTAAACAAAAAACATGGCATTAACAGGAAGATGCCCACAGGTTCTCAGTTGTAAAGGGACCAGCGAAACTCATTTAGACGATAATTAACACATCTCAAAGCCATAATTAGGAAAAAGACAACAATGTTAGAGATAAATGACAGGATTCCACTGACGGTTGAACCAAACCCATCACAGGAGAGGCTGTGAGGAAAGCGCCTCCCGTCTTACTGTGGCAGAGGGAGCCGGGATGTTTTCTGCTGCCTCATCCCAAGCAGCCAGTCTTTTTAATGTGGAACAGGCTGCACACGTACTGATCCGGAACTAAAATCACGAGTAGCTCCTTATTGCTAAACCTGATTGGAAAGTATCTAATAAGGTAATCCTCTGCAGGAAAACACAGTTTGTCCAGTTTTATACACTGAAACCTGCTTTTTACTCGACTGTAAAAAAAAAAAAGAAACCTAATCTGTGCCTTTGGATTTTGTGTGGCCTCTCTCTCGCCTTACCTCATGTCTCCAAACTTCCTGGTGATGGCGCTACCGAAGCTACTGAAGGCTGCAGAGGTTTTCTGTCCAGCTGTGGACAGTGTCTCTGATGTCTTCTTGTATCTGTCGAACACAAAGAGAAAACACATATGTACACAATCATGCTATTCATCTCTGGATGTATTTACTGTACTTTAACGTCACCTTATTTAATTTAAAATCTCTCTCTAAACCAAAATTCCTGTCTTCAAGTCCTGTGTTTTACATCCTTGCTGTTTTGTTGGTCTTTTCTTAAAAATCTGAATGACATGTAGTACCTATAAGCCATCACATGGCTGCATTAACCAGGCTGTGCCGGGCCTCGCTCTCCTGTGGTTACTCTGGTTCATAATAGATGAGGATGCAGGCTGCAAGTGTAAAGTGATCCTCAGGATGGAGTGAAACTGGATAGGAGGAGCAGCCTTCAGAGACTATCCACTTGCTTTTCTCTGTCTCTTGGTGTCTGGATAAAAGCTTGATTGTAGCCGTCTTATCAGGGAATTTGATTGTTTATCTATGGTCACACACTCAAATGTGTAAAACGAATATGTTTGCTTTTCTCCTTTTTACAAAGAAAAAGCACATATAACTGCTCAAAATTCAGTACTTCTAATAGTTTCACAAACTATCCTATATTTTGAAAAAAAGGAGAGGTAGGAAGCAAAATGCTGGTTTTGTTACCACATGGCGTTTATTATTTGGGGAAAGTGACAGCTGCTACAACCTTATCATTTTCATTGAGTGTGATGAGCATCTGCTGCTGTGTTCTGAGGTCAGCAGCTGCCCAAGGCCATGTTTTTAATCATGGTTCATCATGGCTGCTCCAGCAAGGACAACAGAGATACGCAGAGGATCCTTTTAATTGGCTTTAGGGTACCACAGTTTCATGGGCGGATTTTACTGTGAGTTGTGTTTAAATGCTGGATGATATGCAAACTGCTGCACAAAGACCGAGTGAAACATAAACGTCTCCCTGGGTGTGACATGACGGACTTACGCTGTGGAGCTCTGCATGTCCTGCCAGCCTCTGCTGAAGTTGTTTCGGAACTCACTCAGGGGGGTGATACCCAGCTTCTGCTTGAGCTCTGCGTGCTGCTTCTCTTTGGAGGCCAGAACCTGCCTCAGTGTGCTGATCTCTTCCTCCAGCTGGGCGCGCGCACACACACACACACACACACACAGACACACACACACACACACAGACACACACACAGAAAGACAGGCGTCAAACAACACACTGAAAGTCTGCCTTTGTCTTCTTAATTGGGGGTGTCTGCGCACTTTAGCCAACTCTTGCTGAATTTCCTCCCTCTCCTCCTCTGACATCATGGCGTTGTTCAGGTTCACCTCGGACACCAAATCTTCATCAGCTTCTCTGAGTGGCTCAGAGTCCAGAAAACCTTTTAGGCACGCACAGACAGAAACATTTAGTTTTGTGTGTGTTTGTGTTCTACCAGATGTCAGTGACGGTGAATAAAACAATAAAAAAAACTTCCTTTCTAGGGGAATTTCATGACCAGCATCTATATAAAATGACAATACAACGGCACACATTTCAATGAGCCATGACAGAAAGGAAGTGCTCCCATTTCACTTCTCTGGGTTTGGTAGGCCTGTCTGCTCACACAGGATCTTTATGTGGCATCTCTGTGACTGGCACATCAGAGTGTTTGTCGCCACGTCTCTGGTAGTTATGTAATCTGTGGCCGCAGCATGCGGGCTCTAATCTGGCTTTACTAACGGAGATTATCTTGGTCCAGGCCAGACTGACACTACAGGGAACACCAACGCAAGCGTGGTGCTTTCAGAAACAGTGGGAATACTGGATTCAAGGCCAGACGACAGGGTTTTCATTGCGAAAACAAGGAGAAATAGGTACACAAAATACACACAGATGTGAGACAGGGATCAATAAAGTTCGAGAGTGAAATGACCGTTCCTGTCCTTATGGCAAGTTTCCAGGGCCAGGAAGTTTGACTGCCAAGACCTTCGACTCCCACAAGTGGAGGCTTCCCCAAAGAATGATCCCACAAAAAAAAAGGTACAACAAGAACTCCCCGGTCAGCCTCTGCCCCAGGCCTCACTTCACGGTAAAGCCCCAGAGCCCCTATTTAAGTTTTTGGGAGTTTAGCGAAGTCAACAACACAGAACAGAACACTTGATTAAAAAAAAGCTAAAGGCTACGTCCACCGTTTGATGGGTTTTCTTTTTGTCCCATTTGTTGCAGAATTTCCCAAATGACATTTGTGAATCTAATCAAATGTAGCAACAGCGGAACACAGTGTCCACCAACAAGAGAAGGAATGCCCAGCACAAACAGGTCAGTGTATGAGGGAAGAGGTGGTATGGCCTGTGAAGGTTTATACAGGGTGCAAGTGGACAGAGTTACTGTACCTGCAGCGAAGTGTCCTCTTTCTTGATGGGGGCCGCATTATAAAACACATGGGAGACATTGGGGGTGGGGTGGGGTGGGGTGGGTCAGAAAAACGTAATATAACATTATGCTTTTACTACTAATCTTTTTGAAAACGACTACAGTTGGCTCGGAAGCACATAAATATATAAAGCTCAAACCACTTGACTCACAGCACAGCATGCAACAGTACACTTCAAAACAGGCTTTTCTATAGCGGGGGGGGGGGGGGGTTTTTTGTGCCCCTTACACACGGGGAAACTTATGAGTTTTTAAAACCAATGTAGCTCCAATGGAGGCCTTTTCATATATTAGGCGTAGCTGCTTGGTGTCTACGCAGTACTGCCAAGTTTATATGAGTTTTTTTTTTTGTGGAGGAAGAAAATACTCACAACATGATTGCAAACCTACCCAATGATGTTAACGGCTGGTCATGTGAACACACAGTTAGCCATAAATCATAGCTATTGTAACTAAATGATTCGAGGTGCTGTGCACATCAGGTATTGTCACACACTGGATATTATGAACTATCTTTTTTGTAGATGGAATATTTAATACAAGTTTTTTTTTCTAATTTTTTCATCAATTTCTTCAGTAGCCGACATGACTAACTTCTGGCTAAAATGTTGCTTTTTAACAATCATGTAGCCTTTAGCCTGCACCGCCTCTGACTTTGCCATCTTGTTAGCCACAAAGTAAACCAATTAAGGAGAAGGAGGGGGGGGGTCGATTCATGTAACACAGACAGCATCAATGGGATAATTTATATGTTTTGTTCCTTTTGAAAGGAAATGTATTCATTAGTCCAGGCTACATTTACAAACTTGCTCACTGGCTCACGTACCCAGTGATACGAACTGTGTCCTCCTAAAGCAAGACTGAGCTTTGGTTGAACACCAAACATACCACCCACTCATGAACTACATTTAGAATAACATAAATGACTCATTTTTAGCGTGTCAACATTGAAGTAACATGAAGTAACTGTCAAATAACGTTAGAAAGCATGAGTTTCAGTGGTAGCCAAGGCAACGGTGGGACTGTATATTTAGATGTTCAACCAAAGGGAAGGTAATCTACTCATCACTAGGTTATAGTCTACATCCCTTGTCACCTGTGCCATCCAACTGCATATCCCAAGTGGTGGACATGACCCAGCTGTCAGGGTCGGACACTGATGTGGGACACCACTGATCCTGCCCTGGTGGTGAAGTTTCCCCCCAATCTGTCAGGTTTTCCCCGTTTTGCACCAATGGGGCCAAGTCTTCCCCATACGAGATCCTCCGAATAGAATCCTCTCCAGAGGGACAAAACGCACCCTGTTTCAAACCTGAGCAAAGCCACAGTGGGATACAATTAAAGTGCTTTGAGGAAAACGGAAAGCACAAAACTGATCTTCTCTTGAAGGAAAACTGACACAGTATGAACCTGAACCCTGTGCAAGTGCCAGACACTTCAAAATGTGGACGTTTTGGAAAATATAAAAAGTATCCCACAATATATCTAGCATGAGAGAGAACCTAAGCGTCTGCGGGCAGCCCATCTCCTGAATAGATGGCAATGGCCAACGACTCATCGATGTTGGATGATGACATTATTAAACAGGCTCTCTGAGTTAAGTCGTGACGTGTGTGATTTACCAAACTGCAGCGTTGCATGCTCCAAGGCACAAATATGGCCTGGCATGAGGGTTGACAGTTTTTACTATGTTGTTGCTTTTGTATGATTTGTGGGTGGCTCACCTGGTTTGTTCTGGGCTGATAAAACTGCTTGTGATTATTCTCATTATATCAGAACCTATATCAAATGCTGTTTTAATCATCCAGGGCTATCAGAGAGGTTTATAGAAACAAAACTCAGAAAGCTAATCTATTTCTGCTTTAATCCGACTGTAAATAAGGCTCCAAGAGAGCTACAAGAGAAATATATTTCCCCCAGTTTCATTCATACGAGTGTGGCTTATTCGCGCAGCAATGGAAGACAGGCAGAGCTCTGTGCTTAGCAAAGTGTTGGCATGCCTCCGTTAAAAGAAACACATTTCCCACTTAAAAAAAAAAAAAAAATCAATTTTGTTGATTTACCCACTCAGACCACACTCACTCACTGGAGTATTGGTTAAATCAACACTGAATCACATTAGCGAAATAGTTCTGCTTCACTAATTGTTATTGACATCTTCTGAGCACGCCGGCTCTGTAACAACCCCCCCTCACCCCCACCCCCCATCGCTGATTCCTTCACGCCACTTCCATCACGGAAGCAATTGTTTCATTTCTCCTAATTCAGTCGTTTTTTATTGTCAGTGATTCAATGTGGATTTGTTTTTGTCTCAAAGGGGGGGGGGTTCTTACCCATCTTACCCTGCTCTCCCTCATTTGAGGCTGAGTTAACCCATTCCTCTCCGGGGCCCAAGCTGCCCCAGTCCACCACTGCTTCACTCAGAACACTAGAGTACAACTCTGCAGCACAGCAGCAGAGTGAGAGGGGGACAAGAAAACTGGTTATGTACACACACACTCGCGGGGATCTGGTTCTCTCCCATGTCCACTCCAGCTCCACCTCGACCAGTTAATCTGACCCTCAGTTTGCACGGGAACAGGAAATGTGGCTTTTCCAACCTCTGTGGAGCTGCTCTACAATTCTTGAGCTCTTCAAACAGGATTTACCTCATTCCTGCTATTTGTCCTTCCTTTAGTCAGGGAAAAAAGTGGTGCTCTTGTAACTTTAAAAGAATTAGACAGAGTATCTGAAGTTGTTGAGCAATTGAAGGTCTCTGGTTGCAGATGAAATCTGGTTACGCCATCCTCCGGCGCCACAGGAAGAAACTGGACTGAGCAGGGCCAGTTTCACTTTCACAGTCATTTCCTTTTTGTTCAAACCAACTGACCAAGAGGGATTAGTTTTCATTGTTTGAAATTGGCACTATGTGCATGTATCAAAACAGATTGTAATAAAAAAAAAACTTCCTTGCAGGTGAAGATGCCATCGAGTTACTGCACGACTCACTGGCAGGTGGATTTTACACAAAAACATGGAAGAACATCCCTGTCCTACTTTACTCTCCATTCTTTTGGATACCCCTAGCCTCCCCCCCCCCTCCTTTCTCTCTATTCTGTGCTTTTACTGGGGGCGAAATACCTTTGGTCACAAGATTACCATTTAGCCCAGTGGTCATGAGGCTACACTAAATCAGAGGCCCGGCGATGGTCATATGGCTGGAAAAATCAATTAAAGCGAAACTGGAGCTTAAATTAACTAACAGCAATGATAACGTACACACTGTATATGGCATCTAAACCTTTTAAATACAATATTTAACTTTATGTTATTGCAGCAAATTCAGCTGCAAAGAGTTGAAGGTTGAAAAACACTCAGTTTACAGACTTTAATAATTTCCTTATGACAACACATAGGGACATTGCTATGCTTTGGAAAGTTTTTTGAGGAGTTCATGTTCCCATTATGAATACACAACTACTTGAACAATGATTCTCTTTCCCCAAGCTCCAACCCTGGAGTCCCAGCTTCTCTGGCTAGTTCCTGTTAGCAGTAAGAGTACCTATTTATGCCTGGAATGGAAAGGAATGCTTTACCCACCTCAGTAAACACACCTTCATCTCTCTGACCGTTAATGTGCAGCTCGATTTGACTGACTCATTGTAGACTTAGTCTTTTTTTTTTTTTTTTTGTAATGCTTACCAAAGATAAAGGGACTTTTACAAACTTTAAAAAATGATCTAAAAATACTAGCTAAAAAACAATCTAGAAATAATACGTTTAATGTCCATCCCACCCTGACATGTTAAAAAGGAAGAGGTCGTAAACAGGGATGGACATGCGGAAGAACATGCGAGGATTATCTGACAGTCAACGGTCTGTTTCTCTTTTTTTTATGCACAAGTGAAAGCTTATCTCCTGAACCAAAACAGCAGTCCAAGAGTTTAACATGCAGAAATCACAAACTCCCACTTTGAGCCCGTGAACGTCTCTGTCATCACTTTTTAATCCGGTCAAAAGCAAACAAGAGATCCATTCAAGAAAGATAACAAAAGACAATGCAGTTGAAACAAGTGCAGATTTCAGTTGTTGCTCCTTAACGATATAACTAATAACTAACCGCTGAATCCCTCCTGACTGATGTAAAAAAAAAAACAAACAAAAAAAAACATATATATATATTCTCCGTTCGTTCATCACCCAACGTCATTTACTGTGGCGCGACTTGTCGTTGAAACAAACACTTGAGTTCAGCTCATTAGCAGATAACCGGCTCATGTCGGCGGCGGCAGGGTGAAACGTAAAGAAGCTCCGTCGCCAGCGGCTGCGGACTCACCCTGTTGTCTGGTTTCCATCGCTGCCACACCACTGAACTCTCCCAGTCACCTCCAGAGACAGACGACCGCAGGGAGCGCGCGCCCAGCTTCAGACAGATCAGAAGCAGCCAAGTTTCCTCAGATGTCACGCGCTGGGAAAGCTCGTGGGCGGGGCTTGCATAATTAGCCAATAGCCTCTCGACTTAGTAATTCACTAAAATACAGAGAACTTCACTGATTGGACGTAGTGTGTTGTATATTAAAATAATTCAAATTGAATGTATAAATCTGTTTACTTGAATAAAACACCAATAACACGTGCTTGTTAAAAAATAGGTTTGAATGAAAACTGGTAAACTTAAGCCCTACCAACATAAACAACCAGAAAATACACTCAAAACGATTCTCAAATACTGTTCTGAGGTTAAAGATGAGCATTCTGGATTTTAATGTTTCAATTAAATGTTTCTATCATCTATTATGTAATTCTTTACTTCCATTTTTTCCTGATTGCATTCAAATCCTATTACTATAACTAATCGTTCGTTTGAAGTATTGTATGATAGTAATTATCTAAGGAATAAAAACATTGCTGTCTTTATAGTCATAATCTGTTAAACTCTATATCACTGGATGTTCTTTTATGGACAAAAAATATTGTGCCGTTTTTTTCCGGCATGGTGCAATTCTGACCCCTGCTGACATAAAATGAGAGCTTCAACTGTCAGAGCAGAGCAGGAGAGAGGTTTTCAGAAGGAAACACATTTACATTATTGGTAGTCCTCTCATTTTAATTTTAATTTATTCTTCATCAAGTCCTCAGGGAAAACAGTGTTGGTGCCTGGCTAAGTGAGCAATAATAACATCAGCAGGTATCTCTGACAGTGGCAGCAGGTGAAAGGGTGCAAACAAGGAGCATAACAATCAAGTTTATCTGACATTTCTTTCTAGGGACATACAAACCAATCCGTGCATTCACATTAACAGTTAGCTGCTGTCCCAGCGAGTCTGCGCGTGCCCATAGTTATTCCTGCACTTCAAAACCAGAAATCCATCGCATGTAATCAGTAACCAGGCTTAATGAAACTTGTCTGTAGAGTCAATCCCTTCAACGTTGAGTGCCGTTACAACCTCATGATGTCCATCAAATGTCGGAGGCAGGACTCACTCTGCAACTGCGCCCCCATTTGAACCTAGCAGTGAGAACAGCACAGGCCATTGTAAACTTGTGCAAACCTTCAGGAGTTTTTGGGATGCAGCTTAAACCCTGGACTGTGACACTGTGACTGAGACTGAGACTGAGACGTATAATAGTGAGTGTGTATGGGATCTCCTCAGACACATCGGACAGCAGTTCCACACAACTTTCCATCCCAACATGGGTGCTATTTTTTATGAAGTGTAGGATTCGTTTTTCTGAAACTTAATATTTACAAAGGAAGGCTAGGCTGTGTTTTTTACTCTTTCAAAAGTAGTAGTCTAAACTATAGTTGCTGTGAAGGCACTGTTGTAACTTTATGCCAATATCGCTGGGACTATAGAACCAGTGAAAAAAACAAAAACAAAAAAAAGCAAAGAGGGGTATCAACCAGACAAAACATTCCCAGCAATGGGAAAGAATCATTTCCGCAGCTGACTGCATTCCGTACCCTGTTGTAACGCAACCCAATTCATGTGCAATTACAAGAGTTTATCCAAGTATAACTACATCTAAAATGTTATCCAAATAGGCCGTTCACTTTCCCCAAATGTCAAGTTCATACGCGGTGTCAGTTATCAAGTTTACCACTTTCCTGCTTTTCAACGATTTCATAGTTTCAGTGATGTGGAAGTGCACACAGAGGGTATCTCAGCCGTAGGGGGGCAATAAAAAGCAGCAGTTCAACATCACAAAGTCGTATCAGCAGAGTGCCCTGATAAAACAGGTGGCCACACCATGCATGCAAACAACTTTTCGGCAGAAATGTCAGTATTTCATTTGGCCCATGACTGAGACATTCAGCTCCCCGGAGCCCGGCTGGATTTGCTCTCCTTTGGACCCCCGAGTGACGTTGGCAGCCCTGTCGAGTAGGGCAGGGAAACCCGGGCCGTGCTGGCAACGCCATGACAGTTGGAGCTTTTTTGACACTGCAGTGCTCCTACTTCCTGGAATTCAATATGGTTGCTAGGCAGCTGCAGGCAAAACGCACAAGGAAGCATGTTGAATCTGCGGCGGTGTTCAGAGACTTCTTTGGCACAGCTCATGACTCCCTGAGAGCACCCAACCCAGAGTCGGTACAGGAATCAGTGTGTGACAAGATGTTTTCAGTGTCCTTTACAAAGCTTTACATCAGAGGCTTTATGGTCATCATCTCCCAAATGTTGTAAATGTTTCAGATCCCTGGGATAAAGCCAGGCTAATGGCTTTGCACTGCTGAATATCCCACATGCACGGACATCGACCCTACTTTTCCACCATGTGGTTAATCCTTTAGCCGAAGAGGAAATGTGCTGTGAAATCATTCCCACTGGTGACCACAACAGACACACACATGTACGGACACACCGCTGGCCACCTCTCTTTCTAACAGACGCATCCATCTATACATTTACGCACAGAACGGCATCTTCTCCATTGTGCTTATTCCTGCTTTTTTTCCCTCCGTTTTTCTTTTTGGTTCTCTCAGTGTCTTTTCGTATGTTAATGAAAAAACAAGCAAACAAACAAACAAAAAAACACATTAAAGGACCAAACCTCAGACACCACTTGGTCAAATAGGCAAAAGCTTTGAGAGGATGATCCAGCAGCAGTACCACAAAAAAAAAAAAGAAAAAGAAAAAAGGAGGGGAGAGTCAGCTGACTGCTGCCAGGTGGTGGCCTTTAAAGCTTTTAAAAATCTTGTTTCCTGGCAGCGCACCACGTCTGTGCTTTATGGTGCGCCAGTGCGAGATTTAAGGAGGACCTTGTGCACGTTCGTAGGAAGGATCCAGTGTCAGAGAGAGAACTAAACTCTGCTTCAAATATAAATAAGCGTGAAAAGTGCTCTCTTTATTATTCAAAACGGAAAGGCCCGCAGCATCCTTTTGCTTAATAAAATCCTCATAGCGGCCTGTTCATCTCATCTGTGACTGACTGCCTGGCCGTGACTTTCTCGACTTTTTGAAGTAATTGTGCACAATTTTGAGCCAGAATAGAGAGAAAAGTGTCAGCAGGGCGGAAAACCCCGCTGCAGAACATTCAGTGTTTTGTTTTGGCACTGGAGCTTTCTTTTTCTTTTCTTTTGGTTTTTGGCGATGCAGACACTGACATACGGCACGTGTTTGGGAATAAGGAGTGAGCTCCCATTTACAGAAGGGAGGAGTGAAACAGAAAGCAAAGAAAGAAAGACAATGGGAGATAAAAGGAGGAGCAAAGAAGGGGCTGAACCGCTGATGTTTGGCGTCACAGAGGCGTCTGTGCGCTTGTCTGTCTGTCATTCTTAAATTTGGGAGCACGCCCATATTTCAGACCTTCTGGCAAGAATTTGAGATCCATGTCCGTCTGGAGTTGTTAACAATCCGCCTCTCCTCTCACATTCTCCGCCCAACTGCCTGACTCAGATTGCAACGGAAATTTCCTACTGCCTGGGCCAGGGAAAGATGAATGAAATCAACGGCCAGCTGTTGATTCACCGGCGAGAACTCGTTTCTCCTTCATGGCTTTTTCCAAATTTGGTATGCAACTCTCACCTTTTATGTTCCCAGGCACTAAATCCTTTTCTTCAGCCTTCTGAGGACATTGACCTCTGAGGTGCTGCTGTCCTTATGGTCCAGCTCTCCCTGTGGCAGACACCCTGATGCCATCAGAGGTTTCCTCCATAGTCTCTGATCAATGCTTACCAGTGCTCATTCAGTTCCCATAAGTAAACAAAGCTGCATCTTTTTGGTTTCTATCTATTCCACGGCTGTTAAATATGTGGTAAAGGGGTGAAAACGCCTGCAGCGTCCCAGGCCAGGACGACGGGCTCCCATCACTGACGCATGTGGAATTTCAGGGGTCTGTAAGTTTTCTTTCGCCTACATGAAGAGTGCAGTGCGTGACAGTGGTCGATTCAGAATCCAGTCTAAATACATCAGACTGGATTCCGTTTCTGCTCCAGTATCCTGCATCCTGATAAAGCCTTCCTTTTTCTCAGGCAGTCCCATGTGATATAAATAATCTAGGTGTGACGCTGTTCAGCTATCCAGGCCTCGCTCTCCGCTTTTGGATTTTCCACCTCCGGAGAGCTGCCAGTTTTCACTCTGTGAAGTTGGCTCGTGTCTCAGGGCGACATGTCCGTCCCTGAGGAGATGAAGTAGCTGAGGGTGCGTGGTGCAAGTCAGATCCATCGTCCGGATCCTCGGGTGTGCTGCTGCTTCTTCCGCCTCTTACACACATAGTAGACCGGAAAAGCCACCAGACCTGTAGGAAAACCCAAGAGAAGAGGGAAGAATTGTTACACATGCGTTCTTTCAGGAGATTTTGCTTGATCACTACATATGGCCTGATGTGAACAAATCGGGTATGTAAGACCAATTGAGCTGAAAAGTGGAAGACTGGGGAGAGAAAGCAGCGCAACACTGATTCTATTAACGATGTAAGTAAATATGAATCTTCAGTCGCAGCGTATTAGCATGCAGCAGATCATTTGTCGGATTTACAAACACAGGAAAGAGATTAACACTAATTACAGCTCAGCCGAGGCATCAATAGCATGCAATAAAATCTGACAAATGACTCGGAGTGCACAAGTCTCTAGCTGGAAGATGATTTCAATGCAGTTCCAGGAAGTGAAAGTCAGGCGGTCTGTCTGATAATCTGGATCTATGGCTTAAGCAGTTTTCAAACCAGGAATAGTCTCCTTCTATGTTTTTGTTGTTTCTTTTGCTTCTTTAAACCTGACACAAATAGACAGCCATTTTTTAAAGCGATTGACAGTTGGGATTGCGTTACCTATCACCAGTGCAAGAGCTCCGAGCACTACGACCAGCAGGATGACCACCGGAGTTATCAGCACCTTTGTGGCTGCAGGGAGCAGAAACAGAGTCACTCAAAGTGATTCAAATGCTGCATGGCCAATAAAAACATGCTATATGCCATAACAGCATAACAATCGTTATAAATCCTTCATTTCAGAGCTTTACTCGGGAGCTTCTGCAGTTTATCATATTGGATTTGTTTGGTTCTGCTAGAAGAAAACGGCATGTTTATGCCTGTTATGTTAAGGGAATGCATCTCTCCTTTCATTCTTGTTTTCTCTCTTTTAGCATTACCAGACACCCAAGTCTGTAAAAGCTGCAACTCAGTTGTTCCACAACTGTACGCAGCAAATGGAAACTCGAAGAGGAAGGGATGATATGAATAATAGAATAGCAAAGTCTACGAGTAATACTGGTGAATTCTTCTGGAAAAAATTGAAAGCAGTTTCCTTAAAATCTCAAGAGAAAGGGGATCATGTAGCAAGACAATGACCCAGAGCACACATCAGTCTTACCAAAGACTAATGGCTCTGACCTTTGGTCTAATTCAATAGAAATGCCAAAGTTCATGAGACAAACATAATGACAACCCTTAGTGAAAGCTAAGTTGAAGGAGGAGTTATGGATTCATACTGGATTTTTGCGCTTGATGGCATAATCAAAAAAGAAGAGAGGACATGTTTAAAAGAAGTCCTTTAGTACAAAAACAAGTGGTGCATGAGCCTACTAAAATGACACCAGACTTACCACAGACAGACCCTCTGACCAGCCTTCTGAGGTGAGGCTTATCAGGGAGATAGCGATACTTGCAGCCAAACACACTGAGGTTGGAAGTATGGTCCCCAAAAAACCTGACAGCCCAGAAGAAAGACTCAATTAGACGGAGAAAAACATGAAAAAGACTCAGTCAAGGTATGGATAGACGGAGGGACCTCAGGTGTCGGTAGCGCTCTCCACAGCGGTAACAGAAGTTAGTGTTACACTGTGCGCAGGTCATGTGATCGCAGCCCTCTGTGCGCTGAATATGAATCTGAAAGGTAAGCATTAGAATAATGGTTAAAAAAGAGGATCTAAGAGCAGTTTTGGAGTTTTCACATACGCTGAAAAAAGTCAGCTTGAAAAAAGTCAGGTTTTTTTCCTATGCACGCTGACAACAACGCAGTGCGTCCACGGGCCTGCTTCTGTCCAGCATTAGGTTGGACTGATTATTCTGCACCTAAGCCAATTTTTCGGCTTCATAGCCACACACAATTTTCTCCACATGCTTCTGGAGCAGAAACTCAGAGGTGGAGCTACAGTGTGATGAGCACAGATGGGGAAAAAAAACAAAAAACAGTTCCCATAAAGCCGGTAATTGGCTTAATTTATGTCTTCCTTCGGTCATCTGCCAGTCAGAGCAGATACTGTGGAGACTCACTCGGGTGTAATGAGATGGCGGGGTAAAACCAAGCTGCTCTTATGAGCGTCAGACATTTGCAGCTTGGGCTGTGTGCAGTAGAAACACGGCCATCGTGTTTTCAATATGTTCAGCGGCTCCGCTGTACCACACGTGGACATTCCCAACAGCTCTTCATCCATCACCCGACCCAACGTTCACGCTTCTTAACCTTCAATGATTCACTCATCTGCACTCATTCCCTCCTCCATCCATCACCTCGCCCTCCACGTCCAGCATCCGACCATCCGTCCGCCGACCTGCATGCAGAGGGGCAAACACAAACAAACGGAAACGGCACAAATCCAAGTTCTTACTTTGCACTGTGGGCACTTCTGGGCGTTTCTTTGTCCATGCTCTATGACACTGGCCCAGGTCCGTAACAGCTTGTCGCCTTTCCTGTACTCGCGGCATTTGAGTCCGTTGTGCCACGGCGCGTGGCATTTAAAGCACCACACAAACTGGCAGTTGCTACACTGGATCTACACAAGAGACATGAAGAAGAATGACTGCAAAGCTCACTACCAGAGAAATGGGTTTATTCACTTCACTAAACATATTGCTTCTGTTAATCCACTGAGAATGAAAAATACCTCGAGGTGTTTGTGTGGGTCTTTTTCTGCCCTGCTCACATGAATATTACAAAGGATTTAACTTCATGCCCTGTATTTCAGTTAAACTTAGTTTTTTCCTTCTTTTTTTCCTCTTTTTACTGAATGTGACCATAATTTACAAAACCATGGGTATCATGTTGTATGAAAGTATACACAAAACTGTGAGTGAAGACAGGAAGCTCAGTGGGAAACTGTTTACTGAGGGGATAAATCTGTGGGTTGTGTTAGCGGAAAAACATCCTGGCTGTGTTTGTCCCTGCACACACAGCAGCTTGTAACTGTGAGCGTCTGTGCACGTCCTCACCTTGTACTTGTGTTCTGAGCGGTTTGGGTTGTGCGTCTTCAGGGAGGTGAAATGGCTGCACTGGGGGCAGGGCTTAGTGCTGGAGTCCAGCTGACTCAGCTCCAAAAAGTATCGGTACTTTGCCACCTCTTCGCTGGCCAAATGGGAGATCACCATCCCCTCCTCCAGGGTGCCACTGCACTCTGTGATGGGACATCGGATGAGCGCCTTGCCCGCCCACAGCTGGGAACGAGAGACACATGCATGTTTCAGCACTGAGCAAAATGCCACACACTTTTAAGACCTCCTGCAGAATCGTGTGTGTGTGTGTGTGTGTGCATGTGCATGTGTTTTCCACTGTGGGCTTATGGTTGTGGGTTTCTCTGATTAAAAGGTTGACTTTTGGCACCAGATCTACATATGGAATGTATTCCCGCCCCTGATGAGACCCGGTGAATAATTTACCACCGAGCAGAACGAGGAAGCGGCAGATGAGTGAAGGCTGAAGCAAGAAGGGCGCAGTGGAGGTTAATGTGTCTCAGAGCACTTGGACACACATTAGTTAGCCCACTGAGAGCGCCCTGCAGTCGCTCACAGTGAGTGGAACTCATCCACCATCAGTTCAAAGTCGACTGACATCGTCTCCTCTATCATCTACTCGAGATCTGCCCGTGCTGAGGCATACGGACACACACACACACACACGTGCGCGTGCAGGCGAGAGCAGGAAAACTAAAAGCCTATTACACGGCTGTGTGGATGAACCCTCTGCTGGCTTGAGAGCTGCCATTGTTGATGCCAAAACGCAAATGCTGTGATGGCCACCGCTGGACTGGTTGGACAGGTTATCCCAAACAACCCCGGGTGGTACAGAGCGGCCGTCCCCTTTTAAATCAAGCCTGGCTTTGTTTAGAATTTTCATTGTCAGGTGTCAAAAAGAGAAAAAAACAGAAGCCACAATGAAGTCCGAGGCATAGGACGGACTTGATAAATCATTCATTTAAACTATTACTAACAATACCAACGCTTACACAGGCCGCCGTATTGGACATCATCCATCATTCTGAGTGTGTGCAGAGGCATATTACTGAATCCATATTTTCATTCTGTCACTCTACTGAAGCGGCGCTGCATGACTTGCTGTTTCATTCTTTTTTTCTCATTTTGTTTCCTGTTCAATACTGTTTAAATGTTTACTTTCTTATGACTGGCTGGAGCTTTTCAAGCAGACGTTTTATGAAAGAAAAAACATACATTAGTGCTGTAACCTTTTTGGACATGAGGGGAAAAAATAAAAAAACAAAAAAGAGAAAAATAATTAATTCAATCTGATCTAATGATTCTTTAAAAATGAAGAAAAACGTCTTACTTACTGCTCTATTTGTATCTTTTGGGTAACAAGAAAAAAATCGGAGAAAAATCTTTTTATTGGATGTTGATCTAGGGATATTTTTGACCAAAGAACTGACATAGGAAAAAAAAATTAAGTAGATCATCAAGTCATTTTTCAAATCCTATCTGAGGGTGGAAATAAATGTCAACTCCAAGATTTGATTAGCTCAAATCATAGAGAATGGACATTTATTTTATTAGACTGGAGCCTAAAAGTTTCCCCTGACTTGGTAAAATCCTAAATCTGCCATTACTGATCCCGAATATGAGAGAGAAGAGCTCAAACCTCTGCTAAAAAAAAACAATACAGCTAAATTCACAACCACAACCCGAAGACTGTGAGACATTCAGGTGAATTTGGCCCTTTAATAGAAAATGTTGTCAACATTTCCTGTTTTTGTATGCAGACATGTAGGAAAGCTTCTTTTCTGCATGCTTGGTTATCAAATTATAACTAAGTTATTAAGAAAAACGGCTGTGTAATCTGGAAACGAAGCGACGCTACTGTTAAATTTAGGCCAGCTCGGCATGGAAGTAAACAGTTAGGAACCTTTTAGGTCAAGAAAATGCCTTTTAGGAATGTGACATATAACATACCACTCAACTTTAAAAAAAAAAGCCCTGATACTGCTTCTTTGAATTGGAAAAGCTAGGAAATCGCTGCCAATTTTCTACTTTTCTGTCCAAACACAGAAGTAAAACAGTCCAATCCAGCATCCTAAGACCCATTTGAAACCACATGCTCTGACATAAGACTAGCTCTACCTTACTCCAAGCCCTGGAGCTATAATCAGTCAGCTGCGCATTAACGGAAAAAAATAAAGCGAAATAAAAAAAATCCACCCACACCGGATGGTGTCCATGACCTTTCTCATTTTCAGCGCTTATCGGAGAGCCTGCCCGTCTCTGTGACAGCAGGATTATTCATGCCTTTTTATCAAAGCTACATAACTGCAAAGCGTGGTCTGGACGGCTGATAAAAACCGCTGTATTTGAGCAGAGTAAAGCAGATTACAGTAGGAGTAGCAACTTCTATCTAGCCTGCATGATTGCTTATCAATTCCGGATTTTTGTTTGGGAGATTTGCATTGTGAACAAGGTCCCCGAGGACAAAAACGTGAGAGGGAAAAAGTAAGAGTGCGGAAAAAGGCATGCTGAAACACTTAAGACACTGGCAGGGAGCCTTAGTTTTGCCGAGTCTGCTTTTCTTTCCCCCATTAAAACTGTATGCTGGAGATTAAAGGAAGTAAACACTATTATATCAATAATTAATTTCCTTGATGTATCTGAGTGAATCATCAGCATAAGTGGAAAAAACTCTCCACAGAAGCCTCTCCTCTGTAAATGAATTTGCTCTGCCTTCACTCATTCTGGCTGATGACGCCCCCTTACAAGGATGTCTACAACACAATGCTGAACTGCTCTGGGAAAGCTTCTGGCACCCGCTAGAGTATTTTGGGAGGTGTCCTTGGAGACGATCCAGAATAGGATGAATCAACATTTGTGTGTTGTTGGCTTTGACCCATAGTTGGTGATGTATCTAAGGATAAAAGTGCTCCATTTGAAGTTGGGATCTGACTAAGCCCACCAGCTGACAAAGTCTGCGATTGTGTAAACTATTTGTGCCAGATCCCTGTTTTAATGCTGTGACCCAGATTTTTTAGAGAAATACTAATCACAAGATCAGGGGGCTGCAGGTGCTGGCCTGTAACATTCTGCTTAATATTTCAGAAAGCCTTGCCCTTATTCGTTCTCTGACGTAGGAGAGTCAGAGGAGACCCTTAATCTAGATATTTTTAGAGGCATTCTAAACATGTGAGGTCAGGTTCTGGTGAATTTCCCAGAATGGGCCAAGCCTGAATGCTTCTGGGATGCCAAAAATAGCGCATGAGAAGTGTGACAGAGGAGGCAGTGCAGCTCCCAGAGCCACCGACCGCTGGCAGCGGGGGCCACCGAATCCCCCCCCCCCCAAACACACACAGACACCCAACCTCCCACGGAGGCCGAGCCGCCCCCTCCCCAAAAACCAACCTGGGAGGTGACGTAGATTTTCAGACACTCATCGCACACGGCCTTCCAGCAGCAGGGCAGGAGTGCGATGGTTTTCTCCACCAGGCACACCCGGCAGCTCTGCAGCTCGCTCTCCCCGCCCGCCTCCTCCCGGTACAGGCGGCTGGAGATGTCCCCGAACGGGTCCACCAGGTCGTCCAACGAGTAGGGCTCCGGCTCGGGGGTCGTGCCCCCCATCTGTCCGCTCTCCCCGTCAATTTGTGCTGCGTCAGACGTGCCCGCGTCATCGTGGCGGTCTGTGATTTCAGCGTCCGTGAGGCGGCTGTCGCCGGCGATGCAGTAGACCGTGCAGTAGACGTGCTCTTTGGCGCTGAATTTCTCGGCTGAACACGGAGCCCTGCTGTCACCGTCGCGCAAATAGCGGCTCTGCTCTGTAACAGTTAGATATTCAACTCCTTGAACGTCCGAAGTCGTTAACCCGCTCAGGGTTGGCTCGTTTTTAGTTCCCGAATCCTCCGTTTCTCCCGTCGACTTTTTACACCGGCCACATTCTGCTCCGTGTGGGTCCGTAACGTCGCTTCCTTCGTCGGTTTCATGTTCGTCTCCGCTCTGCATCCGACTGTTTGTTTTGAAATAGAAAGACGGTGATTTGGAATCCCCGAAATTCTTCCTCAAAATCTCGACGGCGCTCGCGCTCCTCTTGGCTTTCCCTCCTCCGTTGCAGTTGTTGTTGTTGTTGCCCTCCGCTTCCCTCTCCACACCGCCGCTCCTCTCCTCCGAGTCCCTGCCGCCTCCGTCGAGCGATAGCCGGGAGTTAGACCGGGCGACACGTCGGTTCGAGTCCCACGGCGGCCGCTTGACTTTACCGTCCGCGGGGGAACTTTCCGTCGGCAGGTTGCGGGACAATTTCGCCCTCCCCTCCTCGAGACTGCTGATAAAACTCGGCATCTTAGAGGCGTCGGCAGTCGGTCCGTCATCTTCCATCCCCGTTGTGTCACTCCCCATTTAGTGAGCGGGTCTGCCCCGGGCGGAACCCCCTGCCTGCTTGGCCGTCTCTCCCCCTAAAACTCCCGACAACCAAAACAAAACAAAGCAGGCGGACCGCTGCTTCCGGGTGTCGTCGTAAGCACGCGGGAGAGCGGTGATAGGCCAGTCCCAGTCCTAGTGGTGGAGCCCCACCGGGCCGGAGACCCTCCACTGCTGGCAGACTGCTTAAAGGAGAGCTTCTTCTCACTGTGAACACGCTTTAAAAACTCTGTCTTAAGAGTCACCTGGAGATTATTTTGTTTTTTTACGTACACGTGAGTGAATTCAACATTTGGTTGCTGTTTTATCCAAATATCAGGGGTGTTTCAAAGCCCCTCTCTTCTCCCAGAGTATTAATAGTTCCACAGGTCATGAGAGGGGGATTCTGGTAAACCTAACAGTGTTTACACTTCTGGCTTGAGACGCTGAGGCCCCTAATCTGGAGGAGCCTGGCTTCTCAGGGCCCATGGCAGTACAACCAGGTCAGCCTGACACTTCTCAGTGACCTTTTGCCTGCTTTCACCCGTCAACACATAAATAGGTGAAAATATCACAGATTCCATGATATGTTTTGGCATAACTTACCAAAAGTTGTCTCTTAGTGTCCTGATGATAGCCCAGCATGGGTTCAGAGCCATAATAAAGCTGTCATCATTGTGCCTGGAGTCACTGGTAACCGCTGGAGAACAGCAGCATTACCTCATTCTGCCATTCTGCTGCACTGTGCATGATAAAAGTCACCATACAAACTACATCTTACTGTTTTTAATCATTATTTGAGTCAGAATTTTCTATAAATTGGGTTCATGCTTTTTTCTCCACCTTGATTCTAAGGCATTTGAGGGAATTGATCTTTGATGTGAGAGCAGGATCTCATCAAAGAGAGGAGGACTGTGAGACAAGGTTCAGGAGGTGGTGTTAACTCCACGACTGATTCAAACTATTGACTTTTAGCTTGCTTTGTAGGTTTTACGATATACATGGGGAAAAAGTCTGGTTTCCTTTGTGGCATTTAGGAGTTGCTTTGTTTTTCATTAAATGCCACAGTACATAGCTGATAAGTTTATCTTGAGGAAAAGAACAGAGATCAGAGGACAAAGAAGACCAACCGTCTCCACTCTCTACTTTAATCCCAGCTGTCTCGCTTATGTACAGTCACCCACCTGTAAGAAAACCATCATAAATAGAGAAAGAGTCAACACACAAGGCTGGAGCCGGTGGAGAACTGTAGCAAATCAACCCACAGACCACAGAATCACTGGACTCACTGCTTCCACGCTGGCACATTTCCAACAGAAAGAAAGTTGCTAAACGTGTAACGATTATTGCAGAATTTGAAACGCTCACCAACACAGTGAACCTGTGTCCTTTCAGTTCATGATCGGGGGAATGAAAGCACACACTGCCTATGCGTTTAACACTTTAACAGGATTGGTGGGAAACAGAGGCTTTTCCTTCATAACTTTACAGGGGTTGATTGTATGTTCATAGATTCTGATCCAAAATAAACATGGCTTTTCTCTGACCACTACAAGTGTAAAGCCTCTCTGTATATACACTGAAGGGGGGTTCTTACTGGCCCAAAGCCACGTTTGGATCAATCACACACGTTTGCTTTAGTTATTGCTGTTGAATCACTCTAACTTAGCTTCGCTTTCAGCTCTACCTAGTGTTGAGTTTGGGGTCCGATGGCGCTTTAAGGGGCTTTGGGTTAGGCGTTGTACAGTTATCCACGATGCAGAAAGCGATGCGTGGCAGCAGAAAGTCACATGTGCTGACACACACACTCACACACACAGATATGGATCACTTTATGTCTCTAAAATCCTTTGTGACTGGTGGAAGGTCTGCTGCTTGTTGCTGAAGCCAAACTGGAGCCGCTAGTGATTACACAGTGTTAGTTCATGTTAAACCGATCAGTTTCATTAAAGGCTAATTCTAAAACTAATTTTCAGCTTGAATGTCACTATAAAACCTGGTAAGCGCTTCCTTTTAGGCCCTAATAAAACACAAGGTTGTCCATTTGTACACTCTCTGGTTGCATATGTTTAAAAAGTATACTGTGAATGTTTTGAATATGAATATTATTCCTAGATGAGGTTGTCATTTTTATTGTATTGAGACAATAATCTTGTTGTCATCAACACTCCTGGTCCATCTATCCCTGTGGTAAAATAGATTAAGAAGAGAAAGTCAATTTCAGGCCAAGGCTCAGCTGTTACTCAAAAAAGACTATAGTGCAACTAATTCTGCTTCCACTCTCCATCAGACCGTACCGTTTCAAATACAGACTGTACACTTAGAGGAAATAAAACACAGTAGTCCCACTTATACACACAATATACATTATTAGTCAACTAGAAAAAACGGTAAACACGGCCACACGTGAATAAAAAACGTCTAGTAGATCAAAGTGACATTTCATTGTTTTACACTGTAGAAGCTATTTCTCTCCTGCCGACACTTGAAACTCTTATTTATAGAAATAAAAAACACAATAGTTCACATTTAGAACTCTTTTGAAGAGAGTTGAGGAGCATTCAACAAACCAAACAGTTCCTTTTTTTTCTCTTTTCTCTTTTTTAAACAAAGCTAGTTAGTCACACGCGGCATGAGATTAAATATTCAACTGTTTGGGAACACCTCATGCAAACACACAAAACGCCGGCTCGGTCCTCTGGAGCGACTCTGACTGAAACCCACAGAGTTTTGTTACAAAACGCATAAACTGCTAAAGATAACCGGTAGAGGGACGGCGGGAGGGGGGTCTTCTGGGGGAAACAGTCTGGTAAGTCCATCTTTCTGTCCAGAGAAGCCCCAGTAAGTGTCCCTTTGAGGAAGGAGAAGGCCTTAAACTTTTGGTCCAGTGATTAAAACACAAAATGAAACAACAAGTCACTTTTAGTCACGTTGCCGGAAGAAATCAGTTCCTTTTCTCCCATCAAAACAAAACTCACAAACCAAAAGCCTGTCTGGATTTTCATGATTCGTAACATCTTTCTCATCGGTCCGTGGAAACCCTGCAGAGTAAAAGTGAGGCCTGTTGTGTCTGTCGCTAAACCAGTCCAAGAAAAAGAGTCCGTTGGCACTTTCATCTTTGAAATCGGGCTTGTGAAGTAAAAGACGGGCGCTGCTGAGCCCAGTCCCACGGCCAGGGTGGATGTGCTCGCCCTTCAGTCTTACCAATCCTCGTCCGTTCCTCATAGCTTGCAGGAGAATTGTAAGAGTAAACAATGAACCAAATAAATTCATTTTTCTCTCCTGATTTTCTTTTCCTGCAATCAGATTTTTGTTCGAAAGACACAATACATGTCAGAACTGAGGCTGTGATTGTCATTTCTGTGAGGGGTGTGTCTTCTCTCTGGTTAAACGTCGCGTGCAGCAGATTGAGGCTACTTTTAAACTCCGTCTGTTTTCCAGAGGGGCTGCTGATAATAAGGCTGACTGGGTGCTTTGTCTGCCCTCCAGCACCATTTTTTTTTTTTTTGTTTTAGAATGAAATTAAGGAAAAATGGGAAACGCTCATCGGCTGAAAGATGAGACTGAGGAGGATGGAAGGCAGCTGCCCGGCTCCTGCTGACATCTGCATCTATCTACCTTTATGGGTCTGCCTTGAGCGGAAGACAAAATATTTAGAAAGCGGCAGGCAGACACATCTGGGGTGACTTCTTTTCATAGCAGAGGAACAAGCCCTGTCCTCTGGGAAGCTGCCGCTCAGAGGTGTTGGCCATCTGTCCACCAAGACTACAGTCTTTCTGTCAGAAGGGCAGAAATTCTTTTGTAAACATTAAGATTCACATTAGTCGTAGAAAAGATGAGTTTGTGTGTGTGTGTGTGTGTGTGTGTGTGTGTGTGTGTGTGTGTGTACAGGTGTCTGCTTCCTGTCTACATGCAGGTACGAGGTGAGAGCGCGGGAGTTTGACGCCGCGCTGTCGGCTAACATTCATGAAACAACTGGAGCTCAGTTTCAGTCCCAGTGGGCTCACAGACGCACTGAGTGGCAGGTTTATCAAAAGAGATGTCCAACATTCCTCGATTGGTCAGTCTTGTGCGCAGGTTCCTGGTCACACGTCTGGTGAGAAGGCGATCAGGCACCGAGAGCGAAAAAGTCTCAGAGGGGGTTGAGAAGCTGTGTCTCTGGGATGAATTCATTGAAACTCTTTGGTCAGGCGTAACTGCGCGACGCTTCACCAACAGAAGGCGTGGAGACAACAACGGGCCTCCGCTTCAGCCTCCAGGAACGGGGCTCCACAGCGACATTCTCTCTCCTCTTTTTTTCCGACAGCAGGAATGTAAATTGTCATGGGGGTCCTGAGGAAACGCACGGCTGCCTCTTTGCTCTCCGTCACAGTGCAGGGATCCATTAGCACGATAGAGGGGGGCAAGTCATAGGCTCCCAGTGGGCTTTCACAGAGCGTTTCACAGTGGCTCCTGAAGTTACCACCGCCAGCCACGTGGTGCCAGTATTTCATCAGGAACTGCTTGAGTGGGCAGACAGGGCCCAGACGCCATCTGAGCAGGCATTTGGGGGGGGATTTGTGTTTGGAAAAGTAGAGTATCATCTGTTCACAGTCTCCCTGTCTGAGTCTCTGTTTGTTGGAGGGTTGGAGTGGTAAAAGCAGGGTTTCAAGCTGCGCGCGCTAGGAGGCAGCTCTCCTGGAGGAGCTCCTGGATTTATTTTGACCTGTGAGGGGGGGGAATGAGAGGGTGGTTAAAAGGAAAATGTATATGAACATCAAGCAGATTTCTAACCTCATTTCTTAATCTGCAACTGTTCCCACCGGTAAAGTCAGCATTTGAAGGCACATTTAAGCTCCCAAGATAAAAAAACATGCAGTGTGTGATATCATCTACAGAGAACTTTAGAGCTTTTTAAGAAGTTTTAAGGTAGGCCAGAAGATGGAAGTTTGAGAGATTTCTGATGAAATCCTGCGCTGTTCGTTCTGCTCAACATCACCCTTGAATATATTTCACTCAGA